TGGACCCCTAATTTTCTGGACTTACCCTGGTAACATCAACCAGTATGTGGTGGATTTTGCATCTGCTGAAATCACAGCTCACATTTCGGGGGGGGGGTGTTAAAAATACCCAAGTTCCTTACCAGAGCTCTTCTTCAAGTGAACGCTTTTAGTGTTAGCATGTTAATTTTCATTACAGATTTCGCTGATTGTTTTTAATTTGTGAATAATATTGTCCGCCTGTTTTTCAAGTTTTGCCTTTTTTTCCTGTGAATATCTTTTCACATCATGCTTTTCAAATACTTTTTTGGAATCGCCATGCACTCCAGCCTTGTTTTGGTCGGCAGAAAAACCAAATGATTTCCGGCCGGTTGTTCTCCGCAGGCAAAGCGGTCAGGACACGGCGGAGGAAGTCAGCCGCCGTGACCTGCGCAAGGACCTGGAGGAGAGGGAGCGGGCCGTGGCCCGAGAGAAGCGAGGGGATCGGGCCAACAGGGGTAAGTGGATGATCTGGTACCCAGGAGGGGCTTGGAAAAAAGCTGTGAAAAACCGCAAACCACATTTTTGCAGTTTTGTAGTCGAGTTTGTCACAAGTCTATCCCAAGTCATTCAGTCTTAAGCCAACTCACAAGCCATTCAAATGAACTGTGGCAGAAGCACTCCTTTCTCATTGTCCACCCTGTTACTTTTGACTGGTCTCGTGAAAGGACTGGGGACTGGATTTGGGAAGGGACTTACGGGAGGACTTACGATGGACCCGACTGCAGCACTGCATCTTTGATTGTGATTGCCTTCACTGTTCCTGCGCATTTTGCAACAAAACCTCTAACCCCAGTGTGCCTCCAAAACTGTTTTTCAAAGCGGGGGCAACCATGTGCGATCCAGACTCGGTCCTCACAAAAGGTTTCATGATTTCCATCACGCAAACCCGTGTTTTCTCAGGCCTGCGCAAGTTGACAAGGTTGGCACGCTGTTTCCCCGTCCGAACTCACAGGTATTTCCAAATGAGAGAATTTGCCTGCGGATCTTCATTTCGCAGCAGAACGCCGACTTGATACGAGTTTAATATGCCCCCTCCCCCACACAGAATCGTCCAGCAACAGCAGTACCAGCAGCAGTGCCAAGAGACCTCGCATCGAACAGATTCCGGCAGCCAACTTGGACGCCGACGACCCGATCGACAAAGATGACGACGAGGACGTGAGTGTGGCCTTCATCTGCCCAGAACTCTAGGGAGGCCAGAAAGAATTAATTTAATGCTCCCGCTGTTTGACCGTGACATTTCAGATGATAACCTCAGATGTGGAACGACCGCAGATGAGCTTTTCTACAATATACGTTAGAGATTTTTCAATTGACCACATGGTTTTGAAAGCAGTATGGTTAAAGATCTCCAAAGGCGTCATATCCATATATTGCAGAGAGGTTTCTATCCATTTATGTGATGTACGACTATAATTGCACCGTCTAGTTCCAGATGATCCTAATATACTCATTAACCCTCCTATGGTTTTACAGCACAAATGTGCCCAAATGCCCACAGTCACTGGTGAGCATGTAGTTTCTGTATGGAACTCAAACATGCACAGGTTCAGTGTGTACACAGTAGGTTGTCAGCACAAAATGACCCAGGGTCTTTTGTGCAGTCCTTACCAAATGACCCAAAGAGTGACTTCAGCATAGGAGGGTTAAAGTGCACATAGCTTTTTTGTACACTGAAACTAAGATTTCCTGTTTTAGACGAAGTGACTGTTGCAGGAATTTCGTTTTGTTAAGGAGATTTACACTCTAATAATACGTTATTGTCCTCGGCAACATAATTTAAGAGGCATACTTGTGTCGTATCGGAGCTCACTTCTTTGGGGTTTGTCGTTTTTAGAGTGACGACTCGGACAGTGACGATGACACTGCTGATCTCCTGGCAGAACTCAACAAGATCAAGAAGGAGCGGGCCCTGGAGCAGGCCAGAAAGGCAAGTCCAGAGGAGGGGGGGGTCAGTTGCTGTAGAGTTGGTCCAAAAGTCCCGGGGACGAGATGGGACGAGATGCGGCTTGCTGGAGGTTCGGAGAATTTATCACGGAAAGGGGGAAGATGGCCGAGGTCTTGAAACAGTAATGCTAGGATTCCTTGAAACGGGAATAGGGGGAGGACATATTTGAGGCCAGGCTGTAGTCGAATCAATCACAAGTTTGCTCACAACTCCTTCCTCAAGTCCTGTCACAGGTCTAGTCACCAGACCAGTCACAAGTAACAGGATGAACAATGACAGAGGCGATGCGTCTGTCCAGGTTCACATGCGTAGCTGGTGACTTGGCTTGAGATGGATCGACTTAAGTGAACTTGTGATCGTCTTTCAGGACTCTCGAGGGACTTGACTACAGCCCTGCCTGCAGGACTAATTGTGGGAATAGAGCTGAGAAAGTCTTACAAAGACTGTGGAGTGCCTTTAGGATGCTGGCAAAAGTGGTTGGAAATATTTTGGGTCGGATAGTTTGATAATGCTCTATCCACCCCAGAGTTGAAGTCATAGAGCTATATATAAAACTAGAGTGCTGACTCATGTACAAAGTGATGTCTGCCTGCATCCATGTTTGTAAACGTCCATTTTGTATGGCTTTTATATGGCTATTTGCATATCTGCGTCTGATTGCAAAAACTAACACACAATCAGTAAACGAGTGTTTCAATTTGCTCAGCGTGAACAGCGCCACCGCATGCGCATATGCACTGCAGATAATGTTGTCGTGACTTTTTAAATATTTTAACGGTCTCTGATGCACGTTGCATTAACCCTTTTGTGCCGGGAGATGGCAAACGCCACGGCTCAGTGGGAGGATTAGTGCATACCACTCATACGTTCCATTCATCATGCACCTGCGGTTTCAATGTGGGCCTGCTGCTGGATAGGGCTCTGCCTACTGGGCATACCGCAGCCCAGCAGTCACGGTCAAAAGAATCGCGTTGTGAAGGGGTTAAGAGTACATAATTCGAAATTCATTCCATCTGATTTCAAATATTCTAAAAGCATACACATGGATTCAAAATGTCTGTGCCCAGGACGGCGTCAAATTTTCTCTGCGTGGGGAATGATAAGTTAGCGCTCTAGTAATTTAATATAGCTCTATAGTTGAAGTAAATCCCGACCAGCAAAGAAAAGTCAAGCTGGTGGGAAGTTTTTCAACTGGTCTTTTGCACAAGCCCAACAAATTTGTAAATTCTGGACACTCATGTCGTGGTCATGCATGCTCCGTGCATCTCACACCAAATGCGCATGAACTCGTGCGCCCACGCAGCCCCAGCAAGTTCCCACCCAAAGGACGGTCATTGCTGTGGGAACACACCCACTCCTGTTCTCGATGGATACATCTTGTGCAGGTGATTGATCAAGTGAGGGCTGTTTTTACCAGTTTTGCTGGACTTTATCAGTTTGCATTTGTGTCCGAAATTTTCAAGAGCTTTTTGCTTGCTACCGGTGTTTCAACTTGCAGGAACAAGAAAGGAAAATTGAAGAGGAGAAGATCCGAACTGAGAACATCTTGAGCGGCAATCCCCTGATGGGAAATTCCAACAAGAGCGACTTCAAAGTCTCACGGAGGTCAGTGTCGCCCATGCCAATTTGGCTTGTTGGGCTGGTGCTCATCTGTGGTTTCCTTGGCATGAAACAATGCAAAATATTGGGGATGGGTTGCCAGTCTATGGCAGGTTGCTCCCCAGATAGATACTGGTACCCATGCATATTCCTAGGCAAAGAGAGACCAGTTTGAGTAAAGTAACTTGCCCAAGGCCACAACCTATGGCCAGCGGCTGGATTTGGACTCCTGACCCTCTGATCAGAGAACTGCACCACCAGACCAAACCCCTGCACTGGGTCTGCTCCCGAAAAAAGTTGCAAAGTAAAATCACGGTGATTTGAAACCGAGAGTTGCTGGTCAAGTTACGGTTTGACCAAGTGGTATATTTTCAGGTAGGGTCTCTCTGAATTTGGTGCCTAGAAGTGAAGAGCTCGCCAGAATATATTCGACAACCTTCATGGTCCTTCCGTTATGAGCAGACATTGTCTACAGAAAATATTCTTTGTTGTGATGCTCCTCAAACAGATTTTACTCTTATTTTTGTCATTGCCGGTGTAGGTGGGATGATGACGTAGTCTTCAAGAACTGTGCCAGAGGTGAGGACGACAAGAAGGAAAAACCATTCATCAACGACACACTTCGGTCGGAATTCCACAAGAAGTTTATGGACAAGTACATCCACTGACCCATATACAGCTCGGCTGAAACCTTTCAGGGTTTTTTCTTGGGGGGGACAATTCACAGGAAAGTCGATGTAGATGTAAGAGTCGTACATCTCGGGAATTTTCAATTTTCGCCATCTTCAGAACACTCCACTCTGAACATTCGCACATTCAGGCCAGAAATGGGCACTTTCTCCTTGCGCATTCTGTGTCAGAATGGCTTCCGGAAATGGATCAGCTTGAGGAAGAGGCACATTGCTATCTAAATCCTCTGGGGCTAAGGTCCCGAGCACTCAAGAGTTTCCGTGTGTTGGTCATTGTCTGCTTTCTTTTGAGCCTGTAAAATATTTAAATCTTTTCGTTTCGTCCTTGCAGCCTTTTTGTGTTAGTTATAATTTTGACCCCTGTCTTGCTTTTTGTCGATAGATTGTGCCAGCCACGTGAACGTGTAAATAAACTAGTACATGTGTAAAAAAAAAAGTTTCAACATTTGTGCACCCTTTTAACTAATCTGGCCCAAATTTTATCACAGTCAGTCACTTTGGTATTCCAAGGGTGCACGCCCAGTACAAGTTTGTTCAGGAACAGCAACGTACGCGCGTGCGCAGTAGTCTGTCCTATCAGTGCAGCCATACGTTGACTCACACATCGTGTGCTGGCTCATACACGTCCAGGTTCTGGGGTAACTTTAATTTGAAGTACACCGACAAAGTAGGAGCCTCGTGGTTTGAATTCTCAATCTGGTTTATTTCCCAAACACCACAAGACACGGAATACAAGTCGGACAAGTGTAACAAATGACACCAAATCAGTCCGACTGATAAACAGGAGCGTTGATTCAAGCGTCATCTCACACACCGACCGAGTTGGTGAATGGAAGCCCAAAAATGCAGCATCAAAGCCCCTGTCAAGAGCTGGACACCACTGAAAACCAACGTCTGTCCTTAGCAACTCAAGAAAAGGAAGGGATTTAGTAGTGAGACGGAGGTTAAGGAGCTCCAGATGGAAGCTACAATTCTGGGGGGTCATCCACGTTGGCCCAGCTGTCAACCTTGTTAACTGTGCGCCTCTTCTGTATAAGACTCTCCAGTCTCCCCTCAAACACACTGAAGATGCCTCCTTCAGAAAGGAGAAAAAAAAAGAAAGAAAATCATATTGTTGTACCCGTCCTCCAACGCCACTCCAACAAAACTCAAAAAAATGCTCAAGTAGCACACAAGCTCCAATAGTATTTAAGTAGTACTTTATACTACTCAAACAGTACAAGTTCTCTTACATGTACACTAATTACTCGTGATCAATACACAAAATACACTCCAATACTACCCAGAAATAGTACTTGCACTCCCTACTACCATGAATACTCAAGTAGCACTGTGACTCCAATGATATAGTACCTGTGCTCCAATTCTACTCGAGTAATCCTGCACTGCGGTACTACTTGAGTATCTTTCATTCTTCAATACTAGTATTCACATACTCCAACACTTCTCCAATTGTAGTTCGTATTCAACAACTTCTTCAATGCACCATTTGCCTCAAGGAAGTGAAGTGTGACATGGCAAACCTCTCTGAAACAAAAACGAGAGCTTGGGGTTTCTGATCCTGACGCAACAAGTTGGGTGGGGAGGGGTTAGGACACGCTGATGACAGACTGATGGGATGTCCATGTGTACCTGTGTGAATGAAGAGAATTTTCTTCCCGCGGAAGGCCTCCGGTCTCTCCTTCATCATCTTGATCAGGTAAAACGCTGCCTTCCCAGTATACACCGGGTCAAGGATGATGCCGGTTGTTGCGGCAACGTCAAAGATGAATTCTGCAAGAAAAGGGTACGCATGCAGAACCTTTTATACAGGTTCTCAGTCCCCAATTCAATTTTTTGAATTCATATTTTTTTCAAGGTGAAGGTTTCTTCTGTGGCTATGCACACAAGTATCAAACAATAAACTTGGAAAGAAGGGTGCACAGTATCTATACATTTCCTCTTTCTTGCATCACCAAAACCTTAATAATTACATTATTCAGCAAAATCAGTAACTTCACATGAATAACATACAGACATAACTAACACAGTTATCTTGGACATGGGACCTGCCAAGGGCAATTCATTCTTGTGGAAACGGTCAACTAGACATCTTTATCAACCTACGCCACAGTCGCATGGTTTTCAACTTCAAGCATGCATGCGTATTAACCACTTGCTGCCGGGTGTTATTTGAAGTTGCATGACGTAAAACCAGGTGATTTTCAAGATTTTCCATTTTCAAAATTCTTCAAAAATCATAGCTCCATTTACTGGACGTTTACACCCACACGAATGACTGTCTGGTTTCTACTCTAATCTGACAGACAACATCTAGTGATGCCTGAGTATTTCAGCTGGGCCTGTCGCCTTGTAAAAAGAGCTCAGATTGTGCGGTGTTATGTAATTTCCTTTTGTTCCCGAAACTGGCACAGTGCCCTGCTGGTGTCTTTTCAGTAGGGGCCGGATCAGCGTGCAGCGGTATTGTATTGCTGATCACTGGAGTGCTTTTGTCCCTGGTGGTAATTTGCTTCTGCTGAATGCAACAAACAGTGGTATAATCCTTAAAAACAATGACCGATTTCCTCCGCTATTGACAACTGAAAAAATGTTGGCACAAATGCAGGCCAGACTCCACCTTACCGAGCTCCTCGGGGGTGGACAGCGCATAGCCCCGCCCCACCGAGCCGTCGTGTATCTCGCACAGGTCCTCCGACTGCACCGTGGGATGTCGCTTGCCCCACCCTACGCCGGCCAAAATTCGGTTGCACTCTGAGTGGAAAAACTTGGCATTGTCTCCGACAGCCATGCCATGGATTCTGACCAGATCAGGAGAAGGAATCAACACCCAAATTAACAAGTGTTAGCTGATGTCGGGATGTCCGTTTCTGTAATTTGGTATGAGTTTCAGAGAGAACCCAGCAATTTCTGTTGTCTTCGAGTGGCCTGTTTTTGAGCTACTGAAGAGACAAAAAAGAGTCTTCAAATGATGCAATTTCTGCCAAAATTGTGACTTTTAATCATGACAATGGTAGTGGTTTTGAATAGATAAAGAGACAGACACTGAAAATATTCAACAGAGCTGATAAACTGGTCAATTTTTGGATAAAAAAACTTAATTTTCTGGTCAATCGATGGCCATTCACAGCTCTCAGAAAACACGGCTCTGACAAAAGTTTCGAGATCTTACTTCAAGTTAGATTTGGCCAGGTAATTAGACATGCTCAGTCCTGCGATGGTTCCACCACTGCCGACAGCCACTGCTATATCGGTGAACTTCTCTGGGGCTTCCTGACGAAAGGGGGCATTCAGAGAATTAAAGAGGGGTAATCCAACTATGAAACGCCAGATTTTGCATTGTTATGTAACTTTCTTTTGTTCCCGAAACTGACACAGTGCACTACTGGCGTCTTTTCAGTTGGTGGCCAGATTACCATGCAGCGGTATTGTATCGTTCATCCCTGGAATGCTGGAACACTTTTGTCCCCGGTGGTAATCCACTCACGCCGAATGCCATAAACAGTGGTGATCTTTCAAAACAATGACGGATTTCCTCTGCTACTGACAACTGAAAAATCTTAGCAATTCCCAGCAGCTTGGTCTTTTGTTCCAAGTACAGTCTTTTGCTATAAGGCCTAGCTCTTTGTCCAGTTTCGAGCTCCCTGATTTTGTGAATAAGGCCTATGTGCCTGAAACCGGGCTCCCCAGCAGCGTCTGGTTAATTGTGCAAGCTGTACATCAAGGCTCTAAAGATTTGCGAGCCCACTGCACCTTGCTCCATTGTATTCGGAAGACGAACTTTTCCCAAGGTGCTTCAGAAGGATACAAAAATGTACTCTACCTGTTTCAATAGTTCTTGGAATGACTGGACGTAGCCAAACAGCCCCAGGGAATTGGAGCCTCCGCAAGGTACAAAATATGGCTTCTCGCCTTTCTCATCCCTGTATGAGACAGGTCCAAAACAAAATTAATTCAAGTTATAAATGTGGATCATTCACGCAGTCAGTCATTTGAGGTATCCTACCTGGTTCAACTTACCTGAGCTTCTTCATGAGAATATCGGCTCGTTCCTGGATCTCTTTGCCGTAAGTGGCATCAATTGGGACAAGGTGGATCTGAGCGCCGACAAGACGGTCCAGTAAGACGTTCCCTTGATATGGTACCTTTTCTGGATCCTAAGGGAAAGGATAAAAAGACCAAACCAGATTCTCAATGGTTGGACAACCATAGTACCAACTGGAAACGGTACCCAATAAAGGAAATGATCATCATTATTATGGGCAAGCAAGGACTGAGAAAAGATGTTAAAACGGTGGTTACCGTGGCAATGCTGGAGATGACGCACACGGTGATAAGAGTGATTCTCAAGATGCAGATGGTGCGGGCAACGACGACAATGGCAACACACAGTTAGACATGACAGCGTGCGTCGTGTCAATGTGGGCAATGACAATGATGACGACAATGACACTGATGACTTTACATGACAGGGACAAATGCAGCTGACACTCACGAGCTCTGTGTTCTTCAGGAGCAGGTGCGTCTTGAGGCCGAGTTGCCGGGCAGAGATGCAGGTGGCTCGACTGTGGTTTGACTGGATCCCACCGCAGCTGATGATGGTGGAACAACCCTTGGAGACAGCGTCTGCCAGAATAAACTCCAACTTACGCACCTTGGGGAATACAAATAAGAAAACAATTGAAGACAGTACACCTGGAGATCAGTACAGGAGAGGTTGAAGAAGCATTGTACAGTTGGTTTAAAACCTGAGGCATTCTCGTCACCTCTGTATTCACGTTAACAACAGGTTTGTAATACTTGTGGTCTTGAGCAAGGCACTTTACTCATATTGCCTCTGCCTGTAACTATGTACCGGTAAATAAGAACCATGAAGTGACAGATTTTTAATGGTGTGTGATTCAGCAGTCAGAAACTTTCACTTATTTTCTTAACAGGCATCCTTTCCCAAAGGAAACTTCCGAAGTTTGAGACCAACATCTGAGGGAATATCACTGATTTATCCAATTAAATGTGAAAAACAAAAATTATAAGGGAAAAAAAAAGCCATGGAACTGCAAATATTTGCTTAAGTGAGTGAAAGTGCACCAACCTTGTTCCCAGACAACTGTGATCCAGTCATATCATCCCTTTTGATATACAACTCAAAATCATCTGGAACACCTGGCACGTACCATCTCTGTATAGGGGTGTCCGGGTGCACGAGCTACATAAGAAGAAAGTGTCTTTTTACAACATGGAAATGATTCTATTGTTATCGTTTTGAATCAAGGCTGATGTGTAATTACATGTTGTAAAAGAAAAAAAGAAAGAAAAAAAAAACGAAGCACGGTAAAATCTACAAATTCTGCATGAGGCCTGAGGGGCTTTGGTCATTTTTTTAATTGAACTTCAGAACCAAAGCTTTCTGGACAACTCATACAAAGATCGATTAAAAATCGATATCAATAAAAAAATCAGATTAAAATAAAAAACCTGATGCTTAAATTTCTTTTCAATCACGATTCCTCAACAACCCTGGCTATAGGTGACATTATTTGAGTAAACAAAATCCACTGGGTCAAAAACAAACAATTGTAATGCTTTTAGTTACACTTGGCCCCAACTACTGAATCTGCTAAACCTTTTATTTAAATATAAATAAAAAAACATGAAGTACAGGAAATTCCACAATTTCCAGGAAATTCCACAATTTCCGAATGAGGCCTGACGGGGTTGTAGTATCCTGTACTCTTACAGGTCCACTCCTGACCACCATAACTCTACCCAGCATCAGTACCCATTTTAGAATGTCCTTGTAGCTCTGTCCTCCTCTGGATCCTAATGACCCCACCTGCTAGACATCAACCATTGTACCCCATTAAACCTAGCCCAATGTCTGCATGTATAGAGTGCACATGTATATAATATATTTGTACTCCTGTATCTGATACACAATAAACCAAACAACCATCAGAACAACTCAAGCTTGTGACGAGCACACAATATTACATGGGTGTGGTCATTTTCATTGTTGAGTAAATTTCTGATGTTGGTATCTTCAAGTTGGTATCTACATGTAAAGGGAGGATTTTTTTGGTACCAAATGAATATGAAAGGTCAACTTTTTAGTAAATGGCTTTGGAAGATACAGTAACACCTGTTTTGCTGCATACCAAATGATGGATTTCAGAAACAATTAAGATTTGAACTACATGTAGATTCAATTTTTAAGTTTAAGCATGGAACAATATTTACAATGCTAGAGGTGACATTAAAAAAAATCCAATGGGCCAAAACAAAAAATAATTATGCTTTTAGCTATACTTGGCCCAACTACAAAAACCTGCAGAACCTACATATTTCTTTTTGAAAAAAGTACCGTCCCTAAAAAAAGAAAAAAAGGAAAAAAAGAGAAAAGGCACTGACCCCGAGGCTAATTTTTGTGTCAACCCTGCATTGAAGCTTTTATTAATTTTTACAGTTTTATCCAATATACATTTGTACCCAAAAATATCTGCTCAAACCCTTCACCAATTAATTAATAAGTGCTGGTAGGTCTCTACTGTACATGTATACGCTGTGGCTATTGATACAGAAGTTTAGACAAGCTTCTTTCTACTTTCTTGCATCAGTTGGGTGCATTGGAAACAGGATCCAGACCGGTCTGCATCAACCTTGGACATTATTTCCCTTAAAAAAGTCTTCCAGCTTACGAGTTTACCAAAAGGAAAACAAAAACATACACAGAAAACAAAAATCCAACAATACATGTAGGTAAAACTTCATCTGAGTCTGAAGTTGACCAGAGTCTATAGTAATATTTTCAAGGGATGTGAGTGAGGAAATCATGGCGGATGCAACCTTGGTCCATCTCGAAATTATCTGTTTCCCTCATCAGTGCCGTGACCATGGTAACTACTACCTCCCCCCCATGAAGTCTGTTTCCCCCTAAGTTGTACCAGCTCTGGGTGCCCCCATTTAAAATGTAGAAACATACACAGCCTCTGTACCAACTACAACTTACAAGCCAAATATTCCAAGTTTTTAAGACTAGAAGAATGTCCTGACGTTTTAAATTGGTTAATTTAGCGGGATGTGTGCGGGGCCTATGGACTCCACGCAGCGATTATCAACGTCTGAGTCTAGCCTAGCTCTGTCGGCAGAATCCTTACACACGCACGCTTGGCCTACATGGAAGAACTTTCTTTACTTAACCCATGGTTAACCACTCAAACATGTCACGGTTGCAGCGGAAAAAGAAACATTCAAATAACATAAAAGACGGTAATACCTTCAAACGACATTTGGGCACATTCTCCAGATCGCGGACCCACTCTGGTGGATCGTAGTCGACAAGCAAGCCATCCACTCGGCATTTCTGCTGGCCCGTCATGATTTCAAGTTCAACGCCAAGCACACGTGCTGAGTGGGCCGGCCGGTCCACGTACGCGTTCTCAACCCAGGCTAGCTGAGCCCTGCTGCTTTTTGGGCGTGATGTAAACGAATGGCTTAGCACCAGACTGCCTCGCTGGTACTGGAATGCATGCAGTACGCGCATACGTGGTCTGGTACCAGAGGCCCACATGTACATGGTCTAATATTACACCATTACGAGGCCAAGTTTATCGGTAATGTGCTCTGCAACTTGCAAGGTCATGAAGGTAGGCCCCCCTGTGACTCTTAATTATTGGTTATCAGCTCGTGATTGATCAGACCCCTAGAGTAGGAAAACTGTTGTTTATTTACTTTTTTTATTTACTTTATTTATTTGTTCGTTTTCTTGGGTTTTGTTCTGTTTTTTTTTCATAGTAGTAGGCCTAGGCCCGGCTTGAACATGTTGTTGAATGTAGGCCGCCCTTGTCGAGTACGGTATACCATGTATATTCCTTCCTCAATGGGTATGCCATAGAAGCATGGGTACACTGACGTCCAGTGCACTGCACATATACATGTACATGTCCATGTCCATGTCCTGATAATAACTTACTGCAACACGTACACGTAAGGCAGGCTAAACCCTAGCCCCACTAGTGTGGCACGGATCACGCCCACTCCTGATAAATCAGGAGTGGGCGTGATCCGTGCCACACTAGTGGGGCTAGCTAAACCCATGCTAATGTTTACTAGTCATGCATGATTGTCGTTCAACTGCATGATGCCCATGGCACACGTGTTTCTAAATTGTATAGGCCCTATCCTCGATCATGACCATCAGTCATGTCAGTGGTGGTCATGTTCAGGCATGATGTAACGTGTGTGACGGTATGGTTGCCAGGTCCCTAATTTCGCCACCTATTGTTAACGCCTGAGTGGCGAAATTAGGGACCCGGGGACCGTCACGCGCATTACAGGCCTATGCCTGCTATGTTAGGGCAGAGTTCAATATAGGGGTGCCAGTAATTATTCCCTACAGTAACTATTAGCCGTCAGAAAGCAAAAACATGTCCAGAAAAGTTCAAGTTAGGAAGGAAAAAACCAAGTCCTTTACTTAGAAAACAGAAGTTAGAATTTTTCAGACCAGTCTCATAGGGTTTGTGCATGGGGTGTCAAGTGGCGTCCGTATTTGGAACTCTTTCCCTGTGTTACGTCGAAAAGTCGAAGTCACTACTGTGTATGTGAATTTGAAATGATGGTTTACATGAGATCTTTGTATGTGTTTTTAAATCCAGTTTTTGACGCAAACTCTGCTTTTAAACCAAATTTTTTCCGTAAGAGCACTCTTGAGGTACCTATATATAGCTCTTTAAAATGCTCACACAGGAGTTTCAGACCATGAGACCAAGTCTCTTTTTGAAAAATCTGACATTTTACACACCAATCTCACTTTTCCACCTGACGATGATCGCACCATTTGTGCTGTTTGTGTTTATCACATTGCGCATGCGTTGGGCTGGTCAGTGGCCAAATGAAGCTTGCCCGGCATTTCGACTTCACCATTTTCAAAGGTAGGGGGATGGCATCTTGTTGTGTGCTGTGTAGCTGCGACAGGTTTGCAAGATCTTAGAAATCTCCCCACGCAATCTCGACTCTGACACAAGTTCGTTGTACTGCTCCTGAGTTGATGATCCTAAGGCAAATCAACCCTAGGTGGAGTACAGTAAATTTGCCCAAGATTCAAGATCGTGCCTAGCAGCTACACCTACTAGGTGGTTATGCTCCCGAATCACATTAGTTGTACTGCAAGATCCGTGGGGTTTCTCGTCCGCTGCAGGCGAACCCTACAGTTCTGGGGATACACTAGCTGGAGGATGATTATCATGCTACAAGTACCAGTTTCCAGGAAATAAGTTATTATAATATCACTATAAGTCATTCATGAATACCTGAGATTAATGTTTGATAATGCCCGCTGCGTAAATCACATGGTGGCACCTGGATATGAGAGAGTTTAATCGATTCTGAATGGTCAAGAGTTTGTGTACACACAGCTCGCCACTCGCGTGCCAAGTCCATATAAGGAGGTTCTTTTGGACAAATTGCATGAGGCTATATAATACCATAGAGTGGACGGGGGTGTTTGGAAAAACGAAAGTAAAATTCCAGAACAAAATCGTTGGCAACCCATACTTCTTTGGACTCTTTGATAAAAAAAAGGTATTTGCGTATAGGAAAGAATATATGCCTGGCCGGTCTTAAACTTTTGTTAAGACTGGCTCCGGAGACTGAATGCTGATAATGCCTGATGCCGCAGGTCCATTCTCCTTAGCTGGACTTCAATGCACATTTAAGACCGGCCAAGTAAATAGATTTATTCCCTTATTTTTTTCACTCACAGCATTTGTACTCTTACCTTTTAGTCTTACTTACATATAACTGTACTTGGCTAATAGCACTGCTTTACAAGACTTACAGCCTCACTTGGGACACTTGATTAACCCCAGCACTTTAAAATGTACGTACTGTAGTTTACGACTGTCTGCAAATTCCTGAATTTCCAGATCATTCTGACTGGAGTTACTTAAGCTAGTTGACGCTTAATCCCAAAAGTAAGGGTTGGTCAGAAATAAAAACCGTATAATTCATTACTTAGACCCTGATGGATCCCCAACCCCTAAATTTGTAGGCTGCTAATCTCTTGTTTTAAGTTTAAGAATCCATCATATCAATAAATGTGATTAAGAAGGATTACTGATACATTCAAAACATAAAAATCAAAATATTTTTCTGGTGATCGGACCCCCAATGAGGGTGCATACATGTACGGTGGGTCAAAATATGGTACCAAGACCAAAAATTACCCCTCAACAACCTCCATGTTTGGCCACTCTTTAACCTACATGTACTAGTATTTTGCCAATATTTTGGAACTTGTTGGAGCTTTTGACCAAATGAACTGACCTGTTTTATCATAACTTCAAAGTCTGTATCAAGGAAACAGTTGAAGGCTTTGCTTTCCTTCATTAGGTATGTGTATGTCAAGGTATTTTCAGGAATTTATTTCAGGCAGTTTAACCCCCCCCCCGTAGATTGGATGGTGCTAGAATTGGCACAGAGTGACATGAAAGTGTTCCTTTATTTTTTCAAGGTTTTGAGTTGTTCAGAAGTTTGCTGTAACAAGTTTTCTTTTGTTTTCTTTTCGTTTAACCCTTGGGTGTTAAATGTTGTGTTTGTTTTAGCAAGGTTTGTGTCAACCGGTTGAAAAAAACAGTGACTACAGTTGAGTAACTTTGTCCTTTGAGCTCTACAAAAACACCTTGCATGTGTTTCAACTGAACCAGTTTGACTTTATCTGGAAGGTTCGCTAACACTGTTACAGAAAGGGTCATTTGCACTGACTTTGCATTTGCATAAGATTTTGAGTGCAGTAAATTGGCAAGACTTGGCGCTACTTAGCTCTACTGAAGGATTATCATGCACACTGTGTGTGCATGTCGTGACCCGTGTGTAACCCCTGGAATTAATGGCCATGGGTAGAGCCTGGCTTCTGATTGGTCGGTTGGGAGTCAGGCCTGTTGGCTGCAGTCAGCCTCAACACGCTCTGTACCAAGGCACCCATTCATCAAGTTCATTTTCAAGGGGCTTCCATTGTGCCCGGTTTCATGCACACTGCCCCAGCTGGACTGTGCGTGTACATTGTAGGGTCGCCAAAGGCACTCCAAAACTGCTGAGTTGGATAGGCCAAGATACCGGTTTGGACCAGTCTTGGAACAATTCACACAGACTGCACACTAACCATGACCGTGGTAGTGCTTTGAGCCGGTGTGGATCACTAACAACTGCCGTCCATGATTCGTACAACTCACAACCAGGATCGTGCAAGACTTTGACTATGGAGAGCGAAGCATCGTTGGATTGCAGGACTGATCCCGACCTGATGGCCGGGGAATTTGCAGGATACTCTGGTGATGGACCTGTACCGACGGATTTTTTGCTGCCGTATGAACCGCCGGACTGGATGTCTGATCTGCAGAAGATCCCCAAGTACAGAGTTCAGGTGAACATTTTAGCAATTATGAAATTTATGTAAAAAAATCAGTTTCGTGTAATCCATAGTTTTTACTCCTGGATTTTTCACCAAATTCACACGCCTTAAAACAGACCCTTGGCTGTTTATTGTGATGTAATTCAGTGTGACATCATGAATGTTTCATGCAGAGGATTAATAACAAATTGGTTTTTTTTGTGTAAGATTTTTTTCAATTTTTTTCTATTAGCATAAAAATTTACATGTACCGTGTACTTTGCTGCAACTCGCCGGTTTAATTTTTGCATTTCCTGAACCCTTTTTCCGGTCAGGTCACACACGTTGAAAGGATTTAAAAAGTTCTGCTTTGATCTGTAGGACTTTGAGGGCAGGAGGGCAGGAGGTAGTGGGTTTGAGTCCCACATACATTTATAAGGAAATGTTCTTGACATGCACGGATTTCCATTGACTTTAAAAAATTGGCGAAGCAAGACAAAACAGTTTGAAAATGCAAATTTGTACCCTCTGTGTTAACTTTTTGGCCTCTGAATTTAAAAAAAAAAGGAAAACTGTTATCTACCTGAATTGCACTTGTACTTTTTGAATTTCCGAGGGGTTTGGGTACAGCATTAGCATCAAAAAGTAGCACTAAAATTCGGAATTTTATTCTACCCTGAAAATAAGGTACTGTACACACAGATTGCCTTGTAAGCACATTTTTGTGGGTGTATTGTTGAGCACACAAAGGCAGGACTTTGCCGTGGTGATTGTCAGTTGTGATACTGGGTTGAACTTTGACCCTTGGCCTCTTGCTGTAAGATTCTGAATGATGCAATGGCTTTTCAGAAGTTGTTTGGCAGCGTGCTTTTTCCCTATAGGTTGTTCAAAGTTACCAAAGTTTTCCTTCTTTGCTTTTCAAAGCTTTCCTCCATACCCATTACTTGTATATACATACGTACGTGCGTTATATTCTAAGTGCAAACTTTAATGTCTCTTTATCAACATAATGATTTTGTTGATTGTGGGGGACATTCGCAAATTTTGTTTGAGGGTTTCATCTAGGATTGAAATAACTGCCTTTGCCTTCCCAGCCAAGGTTAAAAACTGTCTATCCACTGCCAGGAAAATCGTGGAAACTGACACCCCAGTATTCTGAAAGGAAATGTGAAGAGCTGTTTTTTTTTTTTTGACTCAACATTTATTTCTGTTTTGCAATGCATATATCAAATTATACACAAGGTCAATAAATGAAAGATTTATGACTACAAGAGTGAAAGTTTAATAAGACCAAGAGACATTGAAATAAAAGGGGGCAAATACGGAGGCATATTCAGAAGACAAAGTCTTATACAGAAAAGGCTCATTAAGACAAAAAAGAACCAGACAAGGAAGACTGACAACAGATTATCGGTACATGGAAAAAACAGTACAGTCAAAACAAAACAAAGACGAATTAACAGACTGAGATGTAACAAAAATGGGAATTACCAAACACCAGGAACATTAGAAGAACAAAAGGAAGATTAGAATCATTAAAGAGAAGAGCTACAGTACCTCAGATAATCAGAAACTGGGTGTTTTTTTGTAGTTGCTCTTCAAGCATCCCACAGATGACAGGGACTTCATATTACCATCACTATATTCCAAAGACGGGGTCCGGAGAATCTCTGTGTATTTTGGAAATAGGATGTGCGAGGCACGTTCACCAGAGTTGTAGATGTACAAAATGGGGACTTGTAAATTTTGAACTAGTAAGCAAAAACCACCTGTCCAAATTTGTTTGTGCCTGTCCTTAGAACAGGTGCCCCAGGTGACTTGATGAGACACTGGCAGTGGGTAGTCTGGGCCTTGGAATTTGTTACATGTACATGTAACTGAAGGAGACAGGAGGCCCTGTTTGGTGTGGTGCCCAGACACCCATTTTAAATCCCATGTTGTTCATACTGTGTTCTTTTTCTTTACTTTTTTCTGTGCCCTTTTGGAGCACCAACTGGTCAGTAACGTCCAATGATGGTGAATGTGATTCAAGTTACTATTTAATTCAACTAGTGATCAAAAACAGTTTGATGCAGGAAATTGTAGTTTGGACTCACAAAAAAAATACGATTAGGACAGTCACAATCACAGTCCAAGAACATTTAATCAGGATTTAATTCATGTTCAACCATTAGCCACCACTGTCACCTCAACTGCACAGTGGCCTATCCAAGGACAAATCTTGAAGCACCTGAGCTTTTATGAAGTAACAGCTTTCTTAAAACACCAATCATCCTTTGTTCTTTGCTCACAGCTGATACACGGAATCACTCCCATCCAAAGATGGTACCTCCCAAATGTACCTGCCGACTTTGAAATCCACATCAAGCGAGACGACATGACCGGATGCGAGCTGTCTGGAAACAAGGTGATTCTTCATTCCAGATCCCACAGAATCCAATGAGGTTTCATAGGATTTTGTAAGATGGACGAAAGTATAAAACGCGTAGCCCAGTCAAGCCGCTTGAAAGATTAAGTACTGAAGATGTTACATTGTCGTCCTCCTTGATGAAGGATTTTTCGGAGGACTTGGGCAGGTGTCTCAGCAAAGTCTCTGTAGTCTACCAAGACGCTATAAATTGTCTCTGTTTAAGTTGTTGGGGTGAGCCAAACATTCAGAACCTTAGGCCGTGTCCGAAACGAGCCTTCTAGAGCTACGGCTAGGCCTATTGTCTGCGCCTCTTCACGTATTTTCAATGGATGGAAGACCTAGACCTAGCTCTAGACAACCGATTCAGATGCAGCCCTAGAGTCTAATTAACCCTTCAATTATGCATTGTGGGTAACAAGTCAGTAATGGAATGAAAGTTCACGGCCTAAAGTAAGGCTGAAACGGCTGTATTTGTTACTAATCCACAGCTTTTCTTTGTGAAAAAAAGAGAGAGTTTATGTCTTCAAGAGTGCTTCTAGATGATGACATTTGGGTGGACCAAGACATCAGTAGGGATGGTTTTTAGCACTGCTACAGAGGATACTAAATTGATGGGAATTTTTGAAGTTAAATTGTATTCTTAGCCAAATCAACACTGACCTCTTTCCCTTTGACTCTTGACAATGCAAACAATTGAAATCTTTTTTGGTCGTAGATTTTTTACTCTTCGATGCATTGCCAAAATTACTGGTGGGTGATTGTTTGTGGCAATTTAGTGCCATGGTTTTTTTTTTTTATTTTCGCATAAAGAAAGGTTAACAGAATGATTGATATAAAGTGGGGTTTGGGCCTTTTTGACCCGTTTTATTTGGGAATTGCAAGCAGCTGGGCAGTGTTTACATCCCTAAGTTTGTAATTTTTTTCAAAGGCACGAAAGCTGGAGTTTCTCCTGGCTGATGCCATCCACCAAGGCTGCTCTGCTGTTATCACCTGTGGATCCATGCAGTCCAACCACTGCCGGGCCACAGCATTGGCAGTTCGACAGCTGGGCCTGGAACCCCACCTTCTGCTCAGGTCACCAGTCTCAGTGAGTATTGAGCAGTGCCTTACAGGTAGTCCAACCTTCCTTGTATCGGCAGGTGAAGTACACATCGAGAAATTGCTCTGGTGTTACATTTGTTGATAGTTTGTGGATCCACAACTTGCATTAGCAGGCCACCTCTGTCTCTTGTTTTAGTTGATGGATTCAGATTCAGATATTGTTGGTTTCTTTGTTGAAATGTGCTGCTCCTACAGAAGTAAGTCACAAGAGCAAATGAGCCTGTTACATTTTTAGGGGATACTGTTGAAAATGAGTTGGGATCCACACAAATAGTGGATCCACACAAGTAGTGGATCCACACAAATAGTGGATCCACACAAGTTGTGGATCCACACAAGCAGTGGATCTACTAAGTAGTGTATCCTGGAGCGAGTTGATAGCAGCAGGGCTAATGACACTGTCACTTGCAGGACCCGGCGGAGGTGACGTGCAGCGGCAACATGCTCCTCAATCGCCTGGTCGGAGCCCATGTCTACCTCATGCCAAGGAAGTCGCAGTTTGCTGGGGACATCAAGCCGAGGCTGGACCAGCTCGTGCAGAAAATCAAGTGAGTTTCCCGACTCGGCCAGGAACACTCCAGGTGCCTTTGCCAGAGATGGTCACAGTGGATGAACTTCCCAAGTCCAATTTGCTAAATATGATTTCTTGTTGTAAGATCACAGAAGCTGTTTTTAGTGAAGTTATAAAAAGACTGCTGGCATCAAGTCAGTGCAGTGTGCCCGTTTTCACTGTTGGCCAAAGTGATGGTCATTTTTTTTTAACAGAGTCAGGAATTAATGTTTTCATGTCACAAGTGTTGATTTCAACAATTGAATTGATTCTGACGTCTGTGACCATTGCTTGTCTTTCTTTGTCTGCAATGCTTCCCCAGGGAGGAAACGGGCGAGAGTGCCTACCCTATCCCCATCGGTGGCTCTACTGCTGTGGGGCTGTATGGCTACCTAGAAGGTTTCGCTGAGCTACAACGGCAGGTGAACAAATGGTCAGATTTTTCATTTTGTCCCGGAAGGTGATAAAAAAAATCCATCTTTTTTTTTTTAAGATGTGTAAAATGGACGGCACTCGAAAAATGACGGTGGCCTTGCCTGCACGAAAGCCCCTCTGTAACTGGTCAAACTCAATCGAGGGGCAGTGCACTGAACAGGGGAACCAGAATTTAGCTCTCCTAGGGCGACAAAATGTTCCCGCCAAGGGGGGGGGTATAATTTGCTCATCCCAGTGAGTTTTAAAGCCACCCACCCCGGGCAGCATAAATTTGCAGAGGTGTTACATGACAATTTTACCCAGAGTAGTTGACATAATCAAAGGTGATATGAATTCATCCACCCAGCTGAAACAAACAAGTGACCCATCACGTAAAAAGCAGAAATAAAAACAGGGCAAAATTCGAAGAACCTTAAAAGTAAGTTGCGACTCTGAGTTCAACTGTTAAGTTCACCCCTTTCTGTTCAGTTCACCCCTTTCTGTAACGTTCAGTGTTCTTTCATATTTGTGCACAGGGTGTGGTGGAAAAGTTCACGGACATTGTAATCGCCTGCGGCAGTAGCGGCTCCACACTTGGTCTTGCTCTGGCCAACTATCTCACCAACTCCAAGCTAAAGTAAGTCACGGTCATGTACATCAACACTGTTTATTTCAAGGCCTGGGAAGAACTTGCTTTCAATGGTTCAAAATGCAACAGAAAATTATTGCAGTCAGGCGAGGGTACTTCGGCACCCTCTTCCGTCTTGTGACCAAGGTGGGCTTTGTCCCTTTTAAAGACACCGAGGTGCATGTGATAGGTTTTTGCTCATCCTGGTTGAAGTGTTGAGCTCATCCTGTGGAAAGTTTTGTGTACATTAAGAGGAAAGTTTTGTGTACATTGAAAGGAAAGTTTTGTTCACATTGAGAGGAACGGTTTGTGCACAGGGAGGAAAGTTTTACAGACATTCTATGCAGCGTTTTGCCCCAAAACAAGGCTGACGTGGACGATGTACCCCAAACACGCTACACTTGAATTTGGAAATTATTTTGCAGTTGACCTCGGACATGACAAAATTTGGCAAATGACAACATTTTAGGTGTGCATTTTGTTGTTAGTAGTAAGAGCTTATAATTTCGAAGCTTTTTAGCCGACTTCAACTCTGTTTCGGAAAGGTTGGATCTCATCCGCTGTCCGATGCCTTTTATTCCCAGGGTGCACGGAATGATAGTCTCGGATGACTCCCAGTACCACTATAAGGAGATGAACAAGGTCTTGCGGGAGGTGGATGCCAAGCACAGCAACGGCAAGGCCCTCCAGGCTGAAGACATCGTCAACTTGGTGGACGGAGTCAAGGGGAGGGGTTACGGCTTGTCTACGCCGGAGGAGCTAGGTAAGCATATGCCCGACGTTGTGGGAGGTTGTCGGATGTCGGTGCTTTGTTCCGCCCCTCAGGGGTGTAATTACAGGGGTGTAATTTGTCACGCAGGAAAAATTTTGCCTCTGTTTTTCAGTCTCGGGGGTATTCCATTTTAACAGAGATGCTTTACGTTCTGGATGTTTTATCTCCTGGAGAAAAACTATTCACATGCATTTTGCTTCATGCTTTACTGGAGCCAGGATGCCGGGGAGGTGGTGGCAGGGCTCAGAGGTCATAAACCACGTCTACGTTGTTTGGCTATAGCTGTAAATGGCACAGCTGCCTATGAAAGCCAATAGCAAGTGACTTTTTGCACTTTCCATAAACGCATATATTATTCCAGTGGCAGCCAAGTAACTCGACACGGCCTCAAAAATAACTGAAGAAGAGACAATGTTGACAGCAAAGCCGCAGTTTGCAAAATCAGTTTCAGTCGCCCGGTGCCCCGCCAAAATGAAATCTAGTACGGCCTTTTGTGAGTTTCATTTGAAGAAACTCCGGTACACATACACCTTGCACCAATGTACTTTTTTCAATTAATAAAAAGGGCACCAGTCTATTTCAAACATGGTGGTCACTATGTTAGCCTGGAGAATTCGGTTGCTATGTTTACGTGCAATCAGATAACGCGCTGTACCAGATTTGATTCAAATTTAACTTGCAAAGGGCTCATTCCCTGGTCTTCTCCATTCGTCACATTTCTCGCAGACAAGGTCGCTGAGATTTGCGCCAAGACCGGGATCATCATCGACCCCATCTACACGGGGAAGAGCGTGCACCACCTCATACAACTGACCAGAGAGAAACCGGACATGTTCAAGGGCAGCAAAATTCTGTTTGTGCACACAGGTGAGACGCAAAATTACTCCCACTGGTCCTAACGATGGATTCTGGGTGAAGTAGGTTACCGTGGCCACTGCAAAATTAACAACTGAGTTATCAAATAGGTATTACTGAAATTACAGATATTGCTAAAAAAAATGTGAATGTACTTTGACCATATCAGAAATAAATGACGAGGGGGGTTTCTGTCCCCCTGCTTCCCCCCCCCGGTTCTTTTAGGGTTAAAAGGCAAGGGGGGATTAGCAGTGGGGATTGTTTTTTTTGGGGGGGGGTGTGGGTCAGAGGGGGGTTGGGATAGTTTGGTTTGCTGGCCCAGTGGTGGATTCTACGTGGCGTTATTTACAGGAATGGTGAATTTGGGTGATTAGGGATGTTGTAAGCAGGACTACGACAAGACCACATGGATTTCAGACATGGGACCTGGCCTGAAAATTTTATGACACCTGCTCATAGATGAACCTTTTCACCCCTTTGTGGTTCTGTATTTGTTTTCAACTGAACCATTCTACATCTCTGCCTTGCCAGGAGGGATCTTTGGACTTTTCGATGGGCGCATGGACGAAACGATCAAGCGAGTGGGGCTGGAGCAGAACAAGTTCCATGAGTGGATGGAGCTGGCCGTCCAAGCTCCCGATCTGAACCTCTGAAACCTGTCAAGAGTGCCCTCTTGTGGCCATGTGCTGCATTTTGCATGACTGACACGGCCGCTTTTTTTTACTAACCTCACCGGTTGACAATATCTCCGTGCGCGAGGCCTCAGTGCCCTCGGATGGTTTGGTCGATCCAGTATGCTCCTCAGGAGGACTCGGTGACCTGAGGGGTTTCCCACCTGTCAGCACAGCCAATTCAGTTTCAGAAGTTCGGCCCACAAGGGATTGTCGTCAGGAAAATAATGTAAATATTGGAGCATCAAAACCAGTCTTCCTGATATCTTAGAAATTGTTTTGGGGAAATCTGCACCCTGTTTTTTCTGAATACAAATAGTACTTGAAACACCACTGAAGAACAAAATATCTTTACCGTAATTGTTTGAAAATTGTAAAGTATACGCTGCCTTTTTTTTAAGACCACAGAGGTCAACCCTAAAATTCTGAAGTCTGACACCAGCTGATGGTTACATGCGTCTATGAAAAGTGGCTCTACAGCCTTATATAGAACCATTCCGGTGACCAGTGTTGTATTCGAGTCCATCGCACGTCCTTTCACAAGTTCCTTCACAAGGCTAGTCATGAGTAACAGGTTGAACAATGACAAAAGAATGCTTTTGTCACATCTCAATTGAATAGGTTGTGAATTGGCCTAGGACTGAATGACTTGTGATGGATTTGTGATGGATTACAGGGACTCCCAGGGACTTGTGATGGACTTGAATACAACATTGCTGGCGACCATGGTAATGCCATCGCTGGTTATTTGCAGTGGCCCCCTGTAATGGCGGTAAGCATTGTGATAACTATTGTATGCGGCCACTGCTCCGTGACAGTCACTCCCCACAAAACCCAACACAATGCTTACCACCATTCGAGGGGGCCATCAGGACTGTAAGTGAGACACAAGTGGCTTCGTCTATTGCTGGTTGTTCCGCTTGAAGTCACAACTATATCATTTGGACGGTCCTTCTTTCATTGGAAGCAGCTCAAACTGAACAGTTATGTATATTTCATTAAGTTTATACAGCTCCTGAAATGCTTTCCATGATGACCAGAAAGACATACCCGAGTATAATTTAAAACTGTTCAAAAATCAGCAAAATTACAAAAAAAAAACCAAAAAGATCAAAGGACAAACCAAGCCAAGACTAATCCCTGATTCTAACAGCTTAACATGTGTTGTTTGTCGTCTGCATGAGTTGTAGAAGTAAGGTTACAAGGCTGATTTCAGGTTATTTGACTGCACAAATCTCATGGTTTTAAAGAAACCAACAAGGATAGTCTCTGTATATATATTTCACCATTTCAACTGGTCCACTTCAAATTGATTGTGGTTGAGATAAAGAAAAGATTTTATTTATTTTATGTGATAGGTTTTTACAGGAGCACTATGTGCTTTGATGTCTAATTATTCCCAGTTAATGCTTCACTTTATTATCTCTAAAGTATTTAGAATGATAATTTCTTTTTTTCTTTAAAGTGGCTTAAAAAATGCCCCCAAATTGGCTTGTGGTTGACAGTTTGATGCATGGAAATTGATCAGTTTTGGGATTGCGTTGTATTTAAAAATTTGGAATAAATAATTTGAAGCTAAAATACACATTCAAGCCGACTGCAGATTTTTTTTGTATTTTGCTCTTCTTATTAGCCAGGTTAATTGATTTTTCATTGAACATTTTTTGGGGAATCAAGATTTGTTAAAACTTCATCATAATTATAGTAAAAATTGTTTATGGAAAATTGATTTTAAGTTGAAATAATGGAGTTTTCTTTGGAAATAGACAAAAACCATGAAATGTGTCCCCGCAAGCAACGCTAGAATTATTTTCAATCAGTGCTCTCAGACCAGCCTTCCCTTTGGATCAAATCTTTTTTAGAAAGGAAGAGAAGAGATCTTTGAACTAAGACAACAAAAGGCAGTCCACGATGCGTCAGAGATGTTACTAACAATAGTTGATTCATGACTGGCTCACATTCCTCGTGGAGGGCGCCCTACATTTCCTTGTAAACAAGATCCGGTCAACATTCCGTGCATAATGAGGCGCACTAGTCACCATGCATGGTAGGCCCCACTGCTTGCATTATTCAGGCAAGACCGACCACTACTCACCAGCATAGCGTGTAGGGCTAAACGGATATTTTGCGAGAAACGTCGTGACATTGAACCGAAAATCGCCAAAGGAACCATGGAATTGAATTCCTCCAGTTCCAGTTGGCCTGAGATCCGTCTGTGACGAAGGAAGGCTGACTTTGGAGCCCAAGGTAAGTTCCGAAAATCCTCTCTTGTTTGTGAGAAGTGTCTTCACATCCTGCAGGTTGCAGAACAATTGCCGTTACTGAAGATCTCTCCTCCATTCTAGAATATCTGGAGTCACACCAATTTGAGATGAAATTTCTGTCAATTTTACCTTGAAAAAAATTTTGGCTGTTAAATCTTACAGTCTGGAAGTAGCCGTTTTGATAGTTTTCCTGTCTTTCATTTTTAACAAAAAAGTCTGTCAGTCAGTAGGCCTAGGTTGGAAGATAACCACCCTTAATCTTGCCTGGCATATGTACATGTTTTTGTCTGCAACTGAGTACCTCACGTGTATACAACACATGTACATATTGGTAGTGGCTAGCATTTAATATTCATGTTTGTATCGGTACACAAGGTCCTATCCTATTGCCAGCACTCAGGAGGTTGCTGCCTACATAACTTCAGATATCAACCTATACATTTGGAACAAATTCGTGTTGTAAGTAGAATAAACCAAGAATGTGAATTGTATCGCAGGTGGAATAGCCTACCTGTATCTTTTTTTTCAGTTTTTTTTGCTACGACCACATCGTGCATTTGTCATATGTACATGTATGTACATTTCAGAACAGTATGATAAACACAGTGTAAATTTGTTGGCACAGTAAACATTTCATCTATTCTTTGAAGATTAGGAATTTTCCATTGGAAAATTGGTGATTTAAATATTTCTATCATTGTGGGTGTTGTCAGTTTATTTTGTTTGGGGGGGGAGACATAGAACTTATTAGCAACAAACTGAATAAACACTGGAAGAGGGGCAATTTTGAGGCATTTTTGAGTGAATTAGTGATTTTCATCCTCTTTCATCTGTTTGGCCTTTCAATTCTTTTGTTTTCTTCATTGTTTTGTGTTTGTTGGTTTTCCATTTTTTTTTCTGGGAGGAAGAGGCAAGTGTCCCCCTGCCCCGGTATATCACGATAAGGGTGATTTAAAAGTATAAAAATAACAAAAAATATATAAAGCAAAGTCTATAATGGTATAATTTATATTTCTTTTGATGAACAATTGAAAATGAAACATGCAGCCCTCATTCAGTGCACAGTGTGTTATCATTAACTTGATTAAATTACTGTACGTGTGAGTTTGTTTTCTTACAACCTTCATCAGTCATAAAGCATTAAAGATGGAGAAAATAATGCTTTTGTTTCCAGCTCTGGATTTTCACAGAAGTGTTGGCTGGGGCCTCAAACAAAGAAAGCAGCCCCAAGCATTCCAAGTCTCTAATTGGCAATTTCTAAATGAAAACCTTCCCGCTGCTGCTGTCGGGGCCGGAAACCTTTGTTACCCATCTGCCTCCGCTAGCTGTCTGACATTCACACAGAGGAAGTTGTAGCGTAGATTCCTCCTGTGGCACTGTAAGCAACAATAAGTGGGTCCCCACGGTGGGCAACATTGATGAAATGCTTCCCCCAAATGGGCAAATTCACCCAATTACCAGCACCCCTCGACCCTACCTCTATGAAATGAATCACACTGTTCCGACCCGTAGAGGAAGGAATTTTTAGGCAACACACAGAGCTGCCACATAGAACACTCTACTGGTCATAGATACCACACTGAGGGAGTGGGTAGGTAGACTTGCCGCTAGTCTGCCGGTGAGTCAGCGCCTGCCAAATTTTCTTCCTTCAGAAATTAAGTGGTCTTGTGTCTGGTCTTGACTACAACACTGTCCATTTTGCATCAACCTTAAAATGTACTGTTAAATTATTTGCCCAGTTTTGCAGTCATGTACCTGTAAGCACTCAATGGCAAAATACTTCTCAGCGAAAAAAGAGTTCAAAGAGGAAAACTGTGACACTCTTGCCTTTTTTCTTGAAATGTTTGTTCTGTTCCTTATAAGGGTGGGATGTGTGTACACGTTTAAACAAAAAAAAGTTTGAAATCCATTTACAGATTTTCCCAAACGATTAAATGGAACCGCCCCTTTCAGAGGTTTGATGACTTGATTGATGCAATCAGGCATTCACTTTTCATTGTAAACAATGCCTGTCAAATGGAATCTGATTTTCAGAGCACTTTGCTGCTCGGTCACATCGAACGAATACCATAAATTCATCACTGGATATTTTTGTGTCAACCAGTTACATTATACACAATTTGTTGTATTTAACATTTTCAGTGACACAATGGTCAGGGTGGGACGTCTACATGGTTAAACGATATGGGAAAGTTTTTGAAACAATTTTCAAATAAAATGTAAATTTTCACCCTTAGTTGATTGCTGCTGCGATGCTTTGTAATGTACATGTTAATTCCTACTTCCTTGTGGATTGGTTAGACTGGAGCATGAGGTATTGAAACATAGTCATGTTGTTGAAAGCATTAGTTCAGGACAGGTAATGAAACCTCCGTTTGCTGCAACTGTCAAAAACAGTAAAAAATTCCTTCCACTTCCCGCGTACAGTACGTGTGTGTACATAGACATGTCATGTGTCACTTTACTGATTTTGACAGATGGGACAACTGTGTTGAGAGTGCATCTTTGCATAGGAGGGTTAATGTGGAAATGCAGAAAGGACTTTGGAAAGTTTATTTCAGGGCTCTAACTTTTGTAGTCCTTCCCCCATGTTGTTTCCATGACTACAATGTGTACACCTGTTGGCACTGGAATGTGCCACAGGAAAGTTCACCCCTCTCGGGACACAGTGAGAGAGGGGTTTGCCTAAAAACCTACTGGTACAAAAAATTGTTTGGAACCCCAGGCATGCCTGGGGATCTCGGCAGTCGCCGGTGTTGGTCACTGGTGTCTTTGCATTTTGGGCAAGAGAAGTACACAGTTTCCAAGTTACATTTCCCACCGTCTTGTGTGTGGTGTTGGTTGTGTTTGGTTTTGATGGAGCACTGGCTTACCATATGTACTAGCAGATGCTGCATGATTTCAAGAACTAAAATCCTGAAAAAGTTGTTTTACTTTGGTAGTTCACAGTTCATTATGCATTAAGTGGTTGGACTTCAGTAGCATTGGGCCGGGATCAGAGGATTTTTGGAAGCAGACTGGAAAATGCTGCAGCCAAATCCATTGCTTTTGTCTGATTTTGATCAAAAGAAGACTTCTTCCATTTTTATAAATTGAAGCTGATTGGTACATGTACATGCATGTTCTGCGTAGAAACGTCATGAAATGACCCCCCCCGTGTTTTGAGATCCAACAGATTAAAGAACCTGCAGGATTTTTTTTTTCAGGAATTCTGGCCCTGGGCCTTTTAGTGCGAGGTAACATCTGGTCGATCACACAGAATTTTTCACGTCTATTTTAACCCTCTTGGCTCGGCGCGAACGTCCCAGTTGTTCTAAAAGTCAAGCACCTCGGCCGATTTAAAGTGGCATGCATTCATGACAAGACAGGGAGTGAACCCACCAATTCACACCGGTGTTTAAACCCCCTCAGGACACCCCCCCTCACCCTGAAAATTCCTGATGAGCCAAATGAAGAAATGAATTTCAGGTATGCCTGGGCCCAGTGTGGACATACCATGCACACACAACATAATACAGACGGCCCAAACAGACGCACTGGTTGCATCTACAGCGAGGGCCTGGTTACTCTGCAAGCCGATAATGCTTTGTTTTCATTTGTTGGAATGTCCTTCGGCTGTCACAAATTTGATTTGTACAAGTATGCTTGAACTTAAGAAACAGCTTGTCCAATATTTGTTTGATGAACTGCGTGCCGCAGCAGTGACACAAAGTAGGCCAAAGCCCTCTTACTTGTGGTTAAACCGATCCTCTGAAAAGCTCCACCAGTCAAGTCATCTTCTCAAACTTTAATGTTACGCAGCCACCTGTCAACTCTCAAAACTGTTGGGCTTGTGCACCCCTAAACCATCCCAAATATTTACGGAGAGAGTGATGCTGTGTCCTTCAAAGCTGTTCTGTAAAATAATGTATGGACCCCTTGAACCTACGTTGTCCAATGCACCGTTGAACTTGACCTTGACCATAAAGCTGTGTACCAGCATGACCTCATCTTGCCCCCAAACCGTCAGTGTAAGGTTGCACCCCCCAATCCCCAAATATATAATGTTGATACAACCCAAGCTCTCTCACCATAATTCAAGTGAACGAATTGGCTTCTCCATCCTTTCTAGTCCCAGCGTTTTAATTGGTTGCATTCCATTTGTTGTGCATCATTCTTCTGTGCCTGGCATGCCAGGCTCTGAAATGTGTTTGATAAAACCTCGTACCCTTTTTTTAAAAATAGGAGTTTTCTGTAGAATGGAATCAATAAATCAGACCTTAACAGGAAACAAACATGGCCATGCACCAGTTGTGCTCTTAGTGAACAATGACTGCTGTGTTCAGATTTAGAGAAATATTTACAGTCATAACAGTAATAGAGCGAGAGTGACCAGCCCAGGCCCCTTCAAAAACACGGCGGATTTGGCATTGTTGATTTGTAAACACCGTTTCGAAATACTGCCCTCAGTGTGTGCCATTTGTGCGTGCCTGTGTGCATTTGTAATGCGACGCATGTAGTGTCGGTGACGGTGTGTACAATGTACATGTGCGTTTGTTTGGTTGGTTGGTTGGCCTTTTGCTCGCCCGGCGTCCCAAATTCCCTGAATCCTGGACGAGCTGGTGAGTCAGCAACTTGGAATGAGACACATCCCCAGTATGACTCTGGGGCCGTGGGAAAAATGCGCCGAGAGTTCAGACAACCTCCCCGGAATCCGGGGAGCGATGATGAGGAACGTGATAAGGGGAGACAGGGAGGATGATAAAGTAGGGAACGACGATGCGGGTGACTTGACGGAGAGGGACGGGGCGGGGAGTGGCTTGTCTCTGAATGTGGGAGGTTGGGAGGATGGCCAGATGTAAGTGTAAGTGGCACGTGTGTAGATGCATGGAGAAGGATTGATGTCGGTCTGTGGAAAGGCAGAGGAGTGGCTTGGGCCCGTAAGGGGTATGAAAAGATGGCTGATTTAAGAAATTGGTCAAAGAAAAAAAAGACTACTGGTACATGTACGTTGTCTTTGTATGATGAGAGAGAAGGGTAAGGGAGATGGCTAAAGTCCAAGTTGATGGGAAACCTGGCTAAGAACACAAGAGGATGATACCCAAAGTCTGTACGAGTGGCTTTTATCAAAGACCGGGCGGAAGGGAAGATGTGCTCCAGTGCGGAGGTGACGAGAAACAGTGCAGAGGGAAACAGCAGACGATAAACACGAGAAAAGAATAATGACGGAGGAGCTTGTCAGAGATTTGGGTCGGGGGAATTCATAGAGAACATTTGACTAGCAATGTACCGGTACACAGGTTGACGATGAACAGAGGATTGTTATAAATGCACTTTGCTCGTGTCATTGGAGTTTTGGCTCACAGAGGTCGGTGGTCGGTTGAGGAATATCGTTGAGAAGATGGTGAGCCAGAGGATACTTGTGGAGGAGGCAGTGGGACGAATGTGTCAGGGCTATCCCAAGCTGTGTGTGCCGATGATACCCTTAGGATGTTGGAAGATTGAGGAAAGTTACTAAAGTGCAGTGCTTGCGCTCACTTCAAACTTTATGAGAATGTGCCCTTGGTTTCCTGCGCAGTGAGGAAATTGGGAGGAAGGTTTACTTATAGGAATACCCCCTCAGTAAGCCAAGGACACTTCCCTCCCCTCCCTGATGGCCTGGGCAATCAGGGATTGGTGCAGATCCCTGGTTAAGCAGGGGCTCTACTTGTACAGGTATGTGCCACTGACTATCCTGGTATGAGAAGGATGGCAGGCACGACAGGCAGGTTGCCATGAAAAATTGCCGACGGGCAACACATTAGCGCCACGAGCTGACGGGGTACCGGGTCAGTGCACCGCGACACTATGTGTTATTTGAACAGGGGACTCCAGGATGAAGGAATTCTGTGATTGAATTGGACATTCACCCAAAAGTTCTGACCTCTTCTTGTCTGGGAAAATGGCGTAAATTTCTAAAAGCAGTCACAAGAGAAGAGTCACTGGTATTCCTGAGCAGCACAGGAGCAGGTCTAGTAGTGGATGTTTGCCGCTTCAAAGAAATTTTTTGAAATCACAAAAATGTTAATTTGATGAGTTTGAGATTCACCCATACTGCAGGCAACGAATCCATGCAAATCATTGAACACAGACGGACTATACAGGTTTGTTTTGGGGGGGGTGGAGTGGAGAAGGGAAAGGGTGTGTTCTAGCTATAGCACATGTCTAATCTTCAAGCACCCTAAAATGCCAAACCATTCCAAAGGCAAAGGGAGAAGGGGGTCAGGGACTGGGGTCATGTGATCATTTTGCTGAAAAATAACAACCCGTATATTGTTCCAGTAACAGTGATTCCCCTAGCAACAATCTGGCACAAATCGGCGGCCAGTAGAGTTGTAATGTACATGTACAATGTGGGTGCCTTGTCTGATCTTTCACCCTCTGGAGAAAAAGAAAAAAAGAACTTTACACTCCTTGAGTGAAGAATTCCTTCCCAGTGGGTGACATGTTGAAGTCAACACTTCAAAAAGAAATTGAATCAAATTCTTGCCTCACTGTTGTGGGGGGGGGCCTGAAATTTCTATCGGAGTCCCATGTTTTGGGGTAGAGGTTGGCCCCTCTGATTAAACCCCTTCCCCCCTGGGCAGGGCAACGTGCTGCTCTGGTTTGTTGTTTTTTTTTTTCAAGAGACCCTCCATTGTCTTCATTTCCTGTTCTGTCAGGGACCACTCGTGATTGATTGGGCCTGTCGCTTAGGGGGGAAAAAATCCATAACTCACTGGGCCTGGAATTTTTTCTGTTTCTCCTGCAAGGAAGCACTGCCAAATTCTACACCCTCCCCAGTTAGACTTGAAAACAGTTGAGGGATGAGACAATTTGTTTTTATTTCCATTTTTTCCTCAATTCTCGGCAAGACGACTGTACTTGTTCCTTATTTTTAAAAAAAATTGTTGGGTGTGAGAAACTTGGAGAAACTTGAGTTTATAAAATACCAGTACTCGTGCGTACACATGTTCATACTGGTCTCATACTGGTGCATGGATGTACATTCGCAACTATACCAATGGACCATGGACCAGTGCTCATGAAACACGATAAAACAGACACACGTAACAAGACGTTGGAAAGTATAAAGCAAGAAATATATAGTCCAGATTTTCCTGCTTTTGTCATTACACATGTGTTTGGTTTCCCTCCTGTGTTTTAAAAGTAGTAGTTACAGTGCCATTGTGCTGTGCTAGGGCCGACGGTACATGTACATACCGTAGTCCTTTACTAAAAAAACTTGAAGTGGTTTGTACAATTCAGGTTGTGTAGTGCACATAGTTGCTCCAAGCCATTGTATCTACATGTAGCCTTTCCTCAAGCCTGAGGAAGACTGTACTTGTGGTATCCAGGACGGCTTTGTGCATTCCAATCATCCATAAAACATTAAACGCGCAAATACCAAAAGTGAAAAATGCCGTGCACTTGCATCTATTTCAAACACGTACTATCAAAATATGCCGAGGCCCACCGGCGGCGGCAAGGAGAAGGAGCCTTGGCCAGCAATCACACATCCAAGAATCCGACGACAGGAATATTATCATTTGACATTCTTGCATTCCTCCTGTCTCGGCCCCCCCCTCCAACCGCCACCAGTCCTACAGGACAAAGTATCAAGATCTGATCCACTCCTTCATCTTAGAGAAGTTAGATTGTGCTGAACAGTCTGGGAAGGTGTGTGTATCACCGTAGAGCTATGGCATGATATGGCTGGGCCTCACCACATGTGCTGTAGGTCACACGGTTTGATTCATTTGTTCCCTGTGACATTCTTGAGTTTCTTGCCAGGGTTGTTCTGTTTTTGTTGTTGTGTGGTGCCTACCGGTTTGAAGTGATCAAGCCCAGGAGCGGGGGGAAGCAGAGTTTGTAGTGGCGTGGGGGGAGGGACATGCAGCTATGCGGTAAAAGGTCCCTCTGTGGATTCCTCGCCGGGCATTTCTCACGGTCGGATCGGACCTGGCTCTGGCTCGTGTGAGACGGGAACTTGTTATTAAGTGGAAGCACTGGAGAAGACTTGCAGTGCTGAGTGCACTGTCGGAGTGAGCAGGTATTCACTGCAGGAGATGCGAACATGGTCTCTACCGGTATTTCTGGGGAAAAAGTTTTTGCAAAGTGCCTGTGAAATTGTGCCCGCTGGTGTGGGCAGTTCTGCAAAACTGTGGACGTTTGGAAGCCCGTTTCCTCTTCTTTGTGGATTATTTTTCATTTTCAAGGTTGTGAAAACGGTTTCTTATCACAGTTATCCAGACTTCCTGAGTATCTGTGGTACATATTGTCTTGTTAGTTGAATTTGTCTACCAAAGACAAAGAGCTACATGTAGGTGGTTTCATTTTTCAGGAAAGGCAGCGGTGTCTGTACAGTACTCTGTTATGTAATGGGTTTCCCCCCAAATTCAAACTGCTGGAACATATTTCAGCCAATATAAATGATTGTACTCTGTCTTCATGGAGTTGCCCAGTAACATTTTCCTGTTGCCCTTTTATTTTATCTCTGTCTGCTACAGATTTTGATCAGTGTCGCCGCAACGCAGTAGCTCTACCTAGGCGCTTGGCTGAGTGGGATCTATAATTATCAGGGAACAGATCTATAGGAGAGTGGGTGTGAGAGGGAGACTAGACGGAACTGACAGGATATTGCCTTTTGCATTCTGCAATGATCCTAACATCGGAGTCGGAGCCCACAGCAGCACCCCAGAGATACCGACTGTTAGAGTTCGTCCCCATGGAGGGCCAGTGCAATCAGCAAGGAGGGGAAAGAGAGCTTCGCCTGCTCGATCTCCTCCAGGACAAGGACCAGCGGTCGGCCTCCGCCCACCGGACGTGGAACAGTGGTAGTGGCGTGGGGGCTTTTGGCCGGCTCTCGCCGCTCCTGCCCCACAAGTCGCTGAAGGGGGAGGAGACGCAGCTCTTTCTGCGGACCAGCGACGGGCGGTTGCTGCAGCACAAGCCCACTCGGAGTGAGGACTTGCTCGCTGACAAGGACCTGGCATTCCTGACCTCGCGCCGCGGCGGTGGAGGGGCCTTGGTGGGCACACGGGATGAGGGGAGCGAGCTGCTCCACCTGCCACAGGCGACAAGCAAGCTGGGTGCCCTGAACATCACCGGCGGTAACGCCTCGCGGAGCATGGACAACCTTCCCCAGGCGAGCCTCCTCGGGAAGGAAAGGGGAGCTGAGACGAGGCACAAGAGCGCCTCACAGGAGAATGTCCAGGGTGCCCGCTTGGACACGCGGACCGTCTACTCCACTTCCCCTGGCAGTCGGTCCGGGAGCAGCATCATGGAAAACCTAGTGCGCGAGTTTGGCTTGACGAACACGAATCCATCGGTGGAAATCAGTGATATTAGTGACTCAGAGTTTTCGCCAAACTTTTCGGCAGACAGACCGCCTCCACCCAAGTACCCAGGCAGTGGTAGGTCGTCATCAAGGTTCAGCAAGCGGGAATCACATAGCAGTGAGAGCGGGGATAACTCAATGTTTTTCAGTGGATCATATAACATGAAATCTACTGAGTCAACGCATGAAAGTGTTACAACAAGGTAAGACAAGAAATATCAATTTCATGTTTCATTGCATTAATTTCACATGTTATAAATTCCTGGTGCCACATGCATGGTATTGTCATTTTTGATGAATTGTTAATACATATGATTTCTTCAACCCTGATTCAGCCTTCAGTGACGACAAAAAAGGCAGTTTTCATTTCAGTTTGGAGACTGCTGGGCTGCTTTAGAACCGTTTCCTCAGCGACTTATCACAAACACCCAATGATTTTCCATTTGGAATCTCAATTCCCATTTGATGGCCAGCCCCGTTACAGTCACTGCCCAAAACACATCAGTGACTAAAATAACAGTCGGGTGGACAATTTTGCAACCTGCCGGAAAAGTGATTAAGGGGCGCCGGTGTCAGTTTGCCAGCATCTGGGGCGATGATTAGGACCAAGGATGATCAGAATTGACTGGTGTCAGTTTCCAATTTTTTTATCCTCACTCGTTGCTCCATCTGGCTACCCAACTCTCCAATTCCCCCCACCAGTAACCAGGCAGAGCGTCCTTAGGAAAAATACACCCCGTCTACTGGTACAAGAGCCGAACTGGCCGGCCGGGCCTCCCATCAGCTCTTCCCCCAGGGGAACACATTTCAATTTTTCCCTTGCTCTCCGTCACCTGGATCCTCCTCTGCCAGCTTTTGGGCCCTGATCAGTTTTGCAGATGATCTGTGGTCCGTACGAATAGAGCAGATTTCTCCTTTGATAGCCTACCGGGCTGGTTGGTTCTCTGACAGGGATAAGCCTGATCAGTGGCAGACGGAGTTGGACTGATAAACCTTGATGGCCAAAGCAGAAATTGTTTGCGTTCCCTTGGGTGACTTCAGAGTTCCAGGGAACAAACCTGCCATATGAAATTAATTTGATCCCAATTTTTTTTGTTGAAAATGACTTTTCAGCACAGCATAAATGTGTAGAGTGTTGTAAACAAGTTTGCTGAATTCTGAAATGTATTCATAACTTTGCATGTGTGGCAAAAAGTGGCATGGTACTACCAAACAATAGATTAAAAGGTATTTAAATGAGCCTTCAATTCATTTAACTTTTTAATCTATTGCGTGCAGACATGCAACTTTTCCTCGGATCCGCTGATTTCCTCGTTTTTCACTTCAGACCTGCGCCATTGAAAATTGAAAAATGCTGAGAACAAATTGTTGCAAAAATTGGAGTTTCCTCATCTTGTTTGTTTCTTCCAAGTTGCATGCCTGTGTGTGGTAATGCCTGACCCTGGGAAGGAGCATGGCATGTCGGCAGGTCTGGTACCACATGTGTAGCACCAGTACATCCATCCACTGTATGTACATGTACATGTCCATACACCTATGCACGTGCATATTGATTGCAGTGTCAGTTCTACATGGTATGCCAAGGACACATGAAATTTTCTTTTGCCGACCTTCACCTTTTGAAAAGTATGGGCAGAATGTACATGTATGTAAGGCCTTGGCAATTTCACACTGGAATCCCACCATTTGGCCTCATGCAACAATCAGAGCCCAAGAAATGCCAGGGCGGTAGCCTGGAACCCACACCAGGGAGGCTGGAATCAAACAAATGCACTGAGTGGGCCAGACCTTGCCAAGTTATTATTTTTTGTGATGTGTTTGTCATAGTGTAGTCTTGGCCCAAGACGTCAACGATCGATAGCTGTTTTATTTCTGTTGAAGAGCGCCCTCGCACAACTAATTTTTACTTACTCTCAGTAGCGTCTTGGGAATCTTCCAGGAATGGGGTGCGGCAGTTGTATGCAAATGACCCATCTTTTTAAATATTTATAGCCTTGGTATTATAATTATGTACATGTACTTTGAAGTTCGAACAACATGGTGGCTTCACGCGAGCAAGTACGATGCCGATGTACGATGTCGAGCTGGCGCACAGTCTAAGTATGTCATGAGTCATAAGGGGGCGCACCATGCACGGTGTCTGCTAATCAAGCACTAACGTCTTGAAACTAAGACTAGTCATAATGCCAAACTGCAACATTCCTGGCACATGTACCTGTAATTGTAAGCTCAAGGCTCAAGGGACAGGTAGCCTGAAATCCACACCACCTATCAGAGCAGGCAGCTGGTTTTGGACTGGGTGTCATACTTGGCATTCCAGTGGATTGACTTGGGGGGGTGGGGTGTCCATGGCAAAGGTTGTCCATGTCCATGTACATTGTACATATATGTTGCCATACAGGTAGCCCAGACATTTACATGTACATAGAGTAGACTACTACATGCATCTACATGTATGTACAGGTAGTAAGCCTTGTCTGAAATACATGTACCGTATTTGTACTTGTTGGCTACGGCTTTAAATTAGCCACCAGTATGGCAGGGGCAACATCTGCAGCCATACAGACAACAATGTCCTTTTTTTTGACTCGGGCTATGTGTCACTGCACCCTGACTGGGACTACATGTACGTGTATGTTATGCATGCATGTTTATGGCTTCATATCAATGCATGTTCACATCCAGTGTAACACATGAGCGCTGCCATGAAATTCTATGCATCAGATTACTGATAACTTTTATAAAACATGTACAATGACCTTGCCAGGTGGCATGTGAAGTCATGAGCCACGATCTCTTCTTGGTCAAAGAATGATCCAAACCTTTCTGTGTCTTCGCAACTTCCAAATGTCACCAATTCCCCCCCACCAAAAAGTATAAGGGCCTGTCCAGTGAACAGCATTCCACAATTCCCAAGTTGTTTCTGAGAACTGCACACGTGCCAAAAATTTCTGCATTTCAAGAACTCAAAAGTTTCTGAAAATTAGGTCCATAAAAATTGGCCACTATCCAACTTCCAAACAAATCATGAGCCCACGTTTCATCCTGCACATACAAGTGTACATGTACATTGTTGCCAGGTATTAACAGGTACAGTCATGCCAAAATACTAGGGAATTCATACGCTTGGCAATTAGTTCTTCATTATGTGGCCAAGCGCCAATGAGCCAACATTTTTTTCCCGGAAAACATGACTGGTTGTCAGGACATTTGGCATTCCGAGTGGTGAAAATTTTCCAGTTGACCGATCCAGGGGTTCAGTTCTTCATTGGACTTACATTCCTTTGTGTGTGGCCCACTGTGGAATGTTCATTGTTAAGAGAGTCCATTGTGATGGCTTTCAGACATGCCAGAAAGTAGCATTGCCTTGCACCACAGTATATTGTCAATTGTACAACTTTTGTTTATTGAACACGTCATGGTCATGTAGAAATGTGTACATTATACAAAGTGTAATACCTTTCTGTTATCAGTAATTGTTAACCAGTCTTAGAGTTTTCTTGTCGTCCAGGCTGTTGACATAAAGCATCTGTTTTCATTTTTTTCTTTGAAAATTTTTTTTTGTTTACAGAAAAATTCATTGCAAATACATGTAGCAGTCTAAGAAAGTGGCGTGTAAACCCTTTTCCAACTTACTAATTTCTAGTGAAATGAATTGCCATATTGTGTTCAGTACAACTACTGTACCGTGGGAGTACCTGCACTGTAACCAAAGAGGCCATTATGAAAAAGAAGCAAGTTGGTTAATCATAAACTTCATTTAGTGTTGCGCTGTATCTTTTCCAAGTTGATGGCTTTTCACTGGTAAATGTTTGTTCCTTGATTCAAGGAAAGCCTCACCGTGTAATTTGAAGAATTTCACAAATATATGCAGGTACTGTACTCGTGTGGTACACGTATTCCGCACGCGCATGTAGAGTATGCTGGTACATGTACATGTACTGGTGTACTGTATTCTAGCGCTACTGTATTCACGCGATAGACATAAATTTGTGGATCTGCAAACGGCAGACGACAATTTTATGTATATATGTATTGGCGGTTCGGTACATCTACATGTACGTGCATGGTGTGTTTTGTACATGTAGGTTTCATGGTGTTACAAATTCTTTCGAGGGCTGTGTCTGAATCACTTGGGTACGGCTGGAAATAAGGCACGAGTCAGTGGCTGTGGTCGTGGCCAGTTCCCATTAAGTCCGGCCGTAGCCAAGTGATTTGGACACGGCCTGGGGTACATTTGAAGAATCGGAGCTATCCCTGACGATCCTGAAACCATCAAAATCACACCCAGGTTAAATATTGCACTTAATTACCAATACATGCATATGTATGTAATTTGACAGATTTGGGACCGTACTGGTCAGCTACGCAGGTTTGAATGTCCTACTTTTGCCATAAACACCAAGAAGGGGTCATTTGTAGCTATGAACTGCTTCATCTGATGGATGTAATATGCGTAGCCTTGGAATGATGCGATGTGCTAAGACTCATAGTCACATGTTCTGTATTGCATGATCTGCTGCTTGAACTTGACCAATCGAGACCAAGGATTTGAATGTGCTCTCTAAGATGGTAATAGCTACACGTACCTGTATTGCATCAGTCGATCCACGCGTTGATTTCCGGACCTCTCCCCTTTCTGCCCACAGCACCAGCACGAGCTCCTCCCCTCAGGCGGACAGTGGTAGCAACCAGCCCGGGGCCACTGCCTCCCGCTTTGAGGTGGACCACGAGGCCATCGCCACCCGGGCCACCCACATGGTGGAGATACTCTCGGAGGAGAACAACGCCTTGCGGCAGGAGCTGGAGATCTACTCACAGCGCGTCAGCAAACTACAAAAGGTAAAGTTTATTAAAACAGTCCCTCTCACAATCAAAATTGAATGAAAAACAACACAAGCAAAGAGAAGAAAACCAAAATCGAATCACTGCAAGGGGTTCATTCATTTTGCAATTCAGTTAACCACTGTTATTTCTCTTGAAAAACAGAAATCCCAAACTCTATTTTTTTATCATAACATGCCCTGAAAACCATCCTACCCTACTGCTATATTTAGCCTGTGCTCCTGCTAGGACTTCCATGCACTTACTGTCAGCTGCAGTCTGGGGGGAAGACTTTGTCAGCAACTTGACTGGAGCAAATTACAATATTAGACAGATGCCAAACTTGTTTCTAAGTGTTTTAATGCAATATAAAGTACAGGTACTCTTTCTCTCCGGTGAAGAGCTTGCTCTGAAAGAATCAAATGGATCTAGGTAATTAGGTACATTTTTAGAGGGTCGTCAGGTACATGTCTGTACCTGGGTCTCTGTGTAAAACCCTAAGCATGATGCATGAGGATAGCACGGACAGACAAGAACAGAAGTACGGGTCGGCTTATGTCATGAGCAATTGCAGAGAATGCTTGGAATTTGTTGAATATCCACACCCCTGGCTTCGCGGATGAGACGCCTGCATGTTGTGCACCCAGCCACCCACATTCCTCCTTCCTCCCGACCAAACCCTACCCCTCAGCTATCTCAATACCGTCCAATGTTGCATGTACCCTGTCTGCCCGCCATTTACTGTACCTGGTATACATGTACTGTACATGTGGGTGATTCAAGAAATTTGGGGTCCATTTTTTTTTTCGTGTCCCTGTCACATCTGACATATGATTTTGTAAGTTCAGAACACATTTTATAATTTCCAAGAGTGATGAATTAATGCAAATTACCTGCCAAACAAATAGTAATAGTTTGAAATCAATTCCGGTGATATTTCCATGTCAAATAACAAAGGTCGGATGTAACAAGGACACAAAAATGTCACACTTTTGGACCCCTAATTTCTGGAATTACCCATGTACATGTATGTATGCATACCTCCTGCCCAATACGGGCGTTTCACAATAGTGCGCCTCCAAGAGTTTGCAACCCATGGGCAAATCACAGTGCGCGAAATCTGTCGACCCAATGCGCGTTTGGAAAGGGTTGACAAATTTCGCGCGTTGTGATTGCCCAACGCGTTGGAAACTCTTGGAGGCGCACTATTGTGAATCGCCCGTATTCTGTTGTCAACCCGAGCAATACTCCTACAGCTGGAGCTACCTCTGCAGGCACTCGTCCTCTAGTCCTGCTGCAAAGGGGTAATTATCCTCGGACGTTGGACTCTTTGTGGCCACGTGTTCGAATTGTTGGTTCCACCAGCAAAAACACATAGTGTACATTTGCTACATTTTAATTACAGGTTTTGCCCTGACGCTGATGTATCTTCACAACACCGTACATGTGCACTCAGTGCTTGTTTGAGAGCTTGTGAAACAATTTCCGAGCTTATTCGGTTGGAACTCAAACCCACAACCTCCTGGTTACTCGTGCCGATGTCTTTACCACTCAATCACTGTAATTGCGGAGTGCATACTTGTCATGAATTCGTCAGATCAGATTGGTTTCACCCTCACAAACTCCAGTTATTGCATGAGCAACAGGGATGCAATTTCTCAGGATTTTTCCAGATTTGAAATTTTTTAATCCCCCCCCAGTCAACTGTGGCTACGTTTTAGCTTAAAAACAGTAGATGCAGTATGATGTAATTGTAGACATCTCTGAGACAAGTCCTCCCTTGTTTACAGCTATTTAAAGCCTCGAAAAGTAATAATATATTATTGTCATTGCCACAACTCCTCTGTTGGATGTTTTCGTAGATATTCTCTTCATCTCCCAATCTCACCCCTGTTATAATACGAGCAGCATGTCAGGGTTTCCACATGTACCTGATGCGCATACGCTTTGCCTGTTTTTTTATTTTTGGTCCAGTTTGAGCAAGACATCTGCCGGGTGCAGACGTCCCACGAGATGTTGGTGGAATCCACCAGGAAGCGGGAGCAGCTGGAGGTCCTTGTCCGCTCCAAGCTGGAGGCCGAGGTCAAGCGACTGCAGGAGCAACTCAAGGATGCGCAGGGTGAGCGCCTCGCATCCGGCGGCGTAGTCAAGAGAGGGGCTTGTTGGGGTGCATGCCGGCCCCCCCCCAAATAATTATCCCCAACTGGACATTTGGAAAACAAAAAAAGTAATGGAGCTGGGGAAGGCATTGACCCACATTTAAGATCAATAGTTTTTTTGGGGGGGGAGTGCTCGGAAAAATGTTCCGATTAAACTGTTAAAAATTTACAAGTTTTTGGTAAACTGCGGTTTACATGTACATGGACATTATATTGTAGTGGGAAAGTGAAATTTTAATTGGAAAAGGAACAGGTTGTTTTTTGTTCGGGGAAGGAGGTATGCAGAATTAGCAAATTTCACTTACTTTGTTGAAGTAACCGTTCCCTTTGACATGGATTTTGACACAGGTTTAGAAATTGTTGAACAGTGTTAGATTTGTTTTAGAAAGGTTTGCGGTAGGACACAGCCAACTTTTGGGGGGAAGACTGTTGGAAGAAATTTTTTTCAGGGATTAGCCTGGTTAACAATTCAGCCATTTTTGGATTAACTTCACTGTCACTTATATGCCAGTGGTTCCATTTAGGCCCGATAACTTGACATTTGCATTGCGGTTTTTTAATGATTGCTTTGGCTATTTTCTGCAGTCAATTTGGATAGAGTGCGGAGCAAGATGTTCCAGTACGAGAAGAGCGTGAACAGTGAGAGCGAGCTCAGGCAAGAGATCAACGCCAAGGATGCCATGATGCAGAAGCTAGTCAGCGAAAGTAAGTCCCGTGGCTCCAAACCTCTAAGGTGGCTTACGGAACCCCCCCTCCTGTCTCCTCCCCCCCTCCCCCAAAATGAGACAAGCCAATGTGGCAGTAGTTTGATCAGAGTCGGAAAGAAAATCCCCAATGAATGTTCATCAGAAACCTACAGAATCAAACGAGTGACAGAAAAACCTCCATGTACATACATGTATCGACCTGGATGAGATTTTAAACCGGGATCATAAAGTTGGGTCATTCCATGAGGTTGGGGCAGAATTTGCGATGGTGTCCTTGTTACATGGGTTTCTTTTACCACCTGTCATGACCTGTAGAGTAGGTTTTTACTGTGTAAAAATAACTCACACCTCTGTATTCAGCCTTGCAATATGTATAGTTTGGAATCCACATGCAGGGAAATAGCTGTTCATTTTTACGGAAGCCACGTAAGAATGGACACTGTCACAAATTGTGCCCCAACCTCGTGGAATGACCCGGTTGGAAGATGACCTCTTCATAAATTTAAGTATTTTGGGAGCCGGTGAGAACACTATTACAGCTTACATGTAGATAGTGTTGGTTACTTTAGCCTATTGACTAGAATAATGATTTCAGAAGTGCCGGTATTTACAAATACTGTGAAATGAAAAAATGCTGTTGTCATTGGCTAGGATAAGGTTGGACTTTTTTAAGACTGAGTTGTCTGCCGTCGTTACAGATCAAGAGTTGATGATGAGCAACCAGCGGATGGAGACGGAGCTTGCCGCGCAGCGGGCGACATTGTCAGAACAACGGCAGCACATTGACGTCCTGGACACGGCGCTGTCCAATGCACAGGCCAATGTGGTCAAGCTGCAAGAGGAGGTCAGTAGAGGAATTGAAGGCTGTCCAGAGGACATCAGCTACTCAGAACCCGAGTATTCGTCGATACCCTAGTCCCTGCACATCCCACACAGAAATGATGCTTATGATGATGATGCCTGTTACATTTTGGGAAGTGATAGCTTTGCTCTCTGGAAACCTCAGTCCTTTGTTGGCCTTTGACCTGTCATAACCTTTGCTTCGCAGTGTCGGAAGCGGCAAGCCTACGTGGACAAGGTGTCCACCCTCCAGAAGATGGTCTCGGCGCTGAAGTCGACCTACCAGAAACGGGAGCAGATCGAGCAGAAGCTGAGACACAAGCTGGAGAAGGAGATCGAGAAGCTGAAAGGGATGCAGGTGAGAGACCGTGACGGATGCAGCGACAGACGGGGGGAGACGCTATGAAATAGAACATGAGTTGGGTGGGCCGACATTTGAGAGTTGTGTGTAACGGCAAGAACTAACTTCATGTTTGGCACTGCTATGAACAAAGGCCACGGTCAAGTTTTCATTTCTGTTTGCACTTCGGGAGAGGGTTGAAACCTTGTTGTTTGATTCCAGAGCAATAACCCCAACCAGGACGAGGGCGTGTCGGAGCTTGACCTGGAGAGCAGTAACAACACCTTGTTGGAACTTCTCAAAGAGAGAGAAGAAGCCATCCTAAGACTGGAGTCTGACGTTGCCAAGGTGAGACACCCCCTGCCATTGTCTCGCACTCTGACCAGCGTTGAGACAATTCCACGAAAGAGGACTCGCTCTATGTGTTTTTGTCTGCCCTTCTGTTTTGGTGTTGACCCTAACCCTCCTAAATCCTCCAAAATCCTTTGGGCAGTTTTGGAGGATTTTGGAGGATTGACGGTGAATGGCAAAAGTGCAAGGCTTATTGCGAAGGCTGCCATGCGTGAAGGTTGTGGGTGAGACCTTGTGTTGTTCTTGCTCAGTCATGCATAAATTCAGCCCGATATTTCTTTGGAATCAACCACACTGCTCAAGAGTGCCATTCACACTGCCTCGACATAATGACAGCAATTGCCAGAGAATTTTGAAGGATTGAGGCAGTAGGCACACCTCCAAGTAACATTACCAGAAATTGCGGAGTATTGAGGGAGAATCAAATTTTTTCACCTCAAATTGGAGGATTTTGGAGGATTGAGGAGGGTCCCCAGCAAAAAGGGCCTAGGGGGCTAGGGTTAAGGACCGCTGCAGTGTTTGTAGATGTCTAAAGTAGAACTGCCCGAGTGTTATTTAGAAGCTTGCCGATTATTGTTATTGCCTTAAAATCGATCTTCTTTTCCCTGAAATCTTTTTTCCCAGTGGGAGCAGCGGTTTCTTGAGGAGTGTACATTAAGACAGTGTTCCGTGGAGCCAACCAGCAGGTAAATCGCTACCAATAGCTGTGCAAAACTCTAACATCACACACAGATCATTTGAAGGCATTCATTAAAATGTGCGATGGAGACTAGTTTTCCTCCCCTTGAGACATAAGGGAGTGCTCGGCTGTTGGTACGTGTATCTCTCTTGTATCCAAACTGGCCCAAATCACTGGACTTTGGTTTTTTTTTTCTGTTGGAACAAGAGCTGAAAGTGGTTTTGTGCTATACTAATCCATTGTGGAAAGTCTCTCCGAGGTCTGTGGTGTATCTGCATTGTACAGCGATAAGCGAGGGCGCTCTGTTGTCTTGGACCCAGGCTTACATTTATGTTGTTGATGCGTATTCAAGCCACCCCTGTCAGTGCACTTATCCAACTTCAAAGACGTCTCCATGGATAAAAACAGTGTGCAGTGTTGCCATTTGCAAGGTTTAAACCTTTGGTTGCTGGTCTCGATATTTTACCAGTCGGGATGGGTTGTGTCTTGCAGCGAGGCTAGTTTTGTCAACCAGGAGGCAGAGAAGGTGCGAGCCGAGGCCCAGGCTGAGCGAGTCAGGCACATGGATGAGATGCATCACGTCCAGAACCAGTTCACAGATATGGAGTCCAGGTGAGCTGTTCTGACAACAGACCACTAGAGCATGAAAGTAGCTATTGTTGAAATTGTTATGCCCCAACTATAGCATAAGTCCCAACTATAGTTGTGACAGTCCCAACTGTAGTGCTGCCGTTGGGCTGGCCCAACTATTGTTGACCAATGTCGGTGGAAAATGTCTCAACATTATCCAAGCAATGTGTCTCACACTTGACACAATTCATCTAAAATGTGGCACTTCATCTGTTCATCTAGCCCTATGACCAATGACATGACATTTGTAAACAATATGACTTTGGCACATGCTGGGCACATCATGCACACTGGACCCCTCTGCTGTAGTTGGGCCGGCCCAACTGTAGTGCTCTAGTTGGAACTGGCCCAACTATAGTTGGGACTGGCGCTATAGTTTGGGCGTAACAAAATCATTTGATTTGGTTTTGATGTTGATTATGCTAGCATTGTGGTTATGTCATAGTATTTTGTCTGTGGCTTGGGTTTGAATGCCACCTAGGCCAAAACGTGGATTGAGTTTTCAGTCCCTACTCATTCTGGGGATTAACCTGAATGTTTGTCAAAGAGTTTTCTCCCCGCGTCTGATCTGAACTGTTCTTTAGTATGAGTACATTTTTCGTTGGCAGAATCAATGCACTGACGGTGGACCTGTCTCACAAGGACACCATCATCCAGGCTCTCCGCAGACAGATCTTGGACCAGGAACCCGGCAGCGCCTCCCTGGACCGGCTCAGCCGGCCGCTGTCTGCTTCCTCCCCGCACAGCTCCACCCACAACGTGGGCGGTGGCCCCCGTGGGGGCGGAGTCGGCAGCGGCGGGGGTGGTTCGGCCGAGTCGCTGCACAACCTGCCCCGCTCGCCCCCGGGGAGTTCTGGGTCCCTCCACAACCTGGCCGGCTCGGGCTCGTCGTCCACCAACCAGCTGGCCAGCCGGTCGTCGCCGCTCAGCTCGCTGCAGAACCTGGCGTTGCGCTCACCTGGCGGGTCCTACCAGAGCCTGGCCCCACTGGGGAAACCCCTTAGCCGGAGTCAGGGGTCCCAGGAACGACTGGGACTGGGACTGGGGCTGAATGACTCTTTCACGTCACTCAGCACATCGGGACTGTCCATTGCTGGAACGGGTGAGATCACAGTTCAAGTTTCAGGAATAAATCCCAATTCATAAAAACGTTTGATTATCCACACATCTCCCACGTGATATATAATTCAATATCGCCCTGCTCATCCACTGAGGTGATCATAAAATGGATCTCTCTGGTTTCTTCATTTGTCAAGTCACATGCCAGTTTTTGTCTGAGAACAAAACACAGAATGATGACAACTGGTCGTAAATCTTCACGAATCTTTCAATGAAAATGACCCTATTTTTCTTTTACTCTTGCTCTTTTACTTCCAGACGGCAGTGAGTCAGATTTAGCCTCATTAGCCAAGGAACGGACGGTACTGGATGAGAAACTCAAGCAGCTGGATCTCGAAATAGCCCAGCAGGTGAGAACGACTGCTTCTCAGACAGTGTCCTCGTCACTCATTTATTTTGAGAAACTCGCAATCCACAGAGAATAATACCCAAATACCACATGCCGTCCATTTCTATTTGTATTAACCCTAACCCCGCTGGGCATTGTTTGTGGGACTATCCCTTTTGTACTTTAAATGTTCAAGGTGCACAAACTCGTATTTAAATTAGATGTTGCTTTGGAAAAAGATTTTGCCTTTTTGGGAAAGATTCCGCTCTGACCAAAATGTCAGGTTTGTTAACTTTCTCGATTTAAAGTCGGTAGTTACTAGGCTGAATCATACTTCATCCTTCAAAATCTGCCCAAACCACCTCTGTTGGATTTTGAAAGATCTAGGAGTCTTTGTGCATGTATAGCCCTAACAGTCCCAAATCCTGCAATTTCAATATGGTTTTACATACACCTTAAGGGGATAGTGAGGAGAGTGCCCTGTAAGAACATGTATGTAAATATATGTAATGTTGAGCGAATGGCTGCCGGTGGAGTTGTTTCCTAACTGCTGGTGAGGCGCTGCCGTTGCTGGGAATGATTTACTGGCTACTAGCCAAAACTTGTAAAGATGCATGCTCTCTGAGATTTTTTCCCCCAGTTAGTCTGTTTATACACGTAATTGCCGACAGCAAATATTGATTACCGTTTGCAGAAGGGTTCCAAAATGGTCTGTGTGCCACCAGGAGGCAAAAATAGACTGCCACCATATGGTTGTAGTTTGTTGATCTGCTGCGACCTCAGCCCCATTCTTGGATTATTTTCCCAGAGATTCCAACTTGTACGATTAAGGCGTAATTTTTACAATTTGTTTCATCCATTTACGACTGTGCGATCCAGACTGTAAGGAACAAAACCATACAGTTATGTATAAACTCTATGTAAGCTAGCACAGAGCCGGCCTTGTAATGCGCGCGTCAGAAATGTGTCACCGGCATCCCGCAGTTGGTGCATACAGGCTGCATGAGTAGGGGCAGAAACCAGCGTTGTTGAATCATCTGTTTGCCCCAATTCACGCAATAATGAACAGTGTTTTGATGTGAACGGAAGCTGTTGACATTTGTTTGTTGAGAAAGAAGAGACAACAGGACTTCAAAAAAATTTATTGTTTGTCTAACTCGCCAATGAAAGTTTTTGGGGTCGCGCCGAAAAATTGGGGTCGGTCGGGAATCCGGAACTGGAAGTGCAATAGGATTACCCTTTTTCATTTTGAAAAGTTGGCATCTCTGTTTCCCCCTGGAGAATCCAAAATCCAACTGGGCAAAATTTGCAGCAGTCCAGTTGCACATATTCTTTAGTGCCTGTAATGACAAAACTGATCCCCCTGAATCACAAACAAGACTGACCCTGATGCCTGTCACTTGCAGAAAAACGGTACCGACATCGGGGAACATTTTTTCCTCTGTCAGGTCTTGTAAAAGTGGAATGCAGCTCGGGGGTCGGGCGGGGGCAGATTGGAGAGCGTAAAATGTCTCATGATTAATGTGTCGCGAGACTGTTGTGCTGCGGTGGTTACTTGGAGATGGAATTGTGTCAACTGAGAAAAAAAGAAATTAAAAAAAAAACAAAGGGTAAGCACGCACCTGCGATAAACACAAAATGAAGTCTGGTTTTTTTTGCGTGTGGCCCTAGCTCCGGAATTTCCACCCTCTCCCAAAATGACCCTGGCGATGTTGGTTGATGTATGCGCCCGCTCACATTCCTAACATTCAGGCCAGCACAAATTAGCCTCCCTGACTTCTTCAGATTTCCTCCTCTGAATACTTCAAGAATTTGGGTCCAGTATATGAAAAATCTGGGGGTGGGGTATATCTATGGGGTTTAAATTGGCCTGGAAAGTTTTAAGAGGGGGGAGGGGATTCATCTATTCCCTCCCCCCACACACACTGTTGCTGTGGAGTGTTAGGCTTTGAAGTTGCGTTTGGTGATTGTTCTTTTGACTAGCCATGCATTGTGATGGATGTGCTCTCTTGAAGTGTAGGTTGGTTTACGTTGAAGTAGTTAATATTAGTTTGCTGTAGAGTTTAACTTCCTAGAATTATCAGAAACAGCCAGTGACTTGAGTATTAAAGTTCAGACTGTACGACGATGAGGTTTGCGGTTTATTTTCTTTGACAGTAAGCAGGAAAAGTCAAAAACGTGATTTTAGGAGTTTTGAATTTTTGAAGGGTGAGGTTAGGAAAAGGTTTTAATGAATGGAAAGAAAACGAATAGATCGGTGAATGAAACTGATAAAAGTACGTTATGTACGTACGTGTAATAAAAGTATGTTATAGATAAAAGAAAAGGGGACCCCTTTTTAAATACAGTGTTTGCATTCCAGTTTGCCTTCAGCTCTTTGTTGGGAGAAGGGCCATGTGCACATGTACGTCTTCATTTCCTCTCTGGAATGAGCAGAGCCTCTGCGCATTTTTTTCTGGAATTGAGACATTGCGCACTCCTGCCTCACCATCATGCAAGAATCCGTCGGATTACACATGTCCCACGATGTATCAGGATCTGGGGTGTTTTTTTTGGTTTCTTTTTTGATCAGTGTCTCTGGCCGTTTCTAATGCCACATGTCTGAGGACGGGTTGTTGTCGTCCCCTGTCTCATGATCGGTATGTGGACTATGCCTGGCCTTGGCCCAAAATAACTCTTTCCTGAGCTCCCCTCTCCCGATGATGCAAGGCAATGAGACTGGAAACGATGAGGAAAACATACCGGCCCCTGTCTCTGTTAGAATTCCTCCCACAAACATGTAAGCCATCATCATAGGCACGTGGGAACATTCAAGTTTTTTTAGGGGGGGGGTGTAGTGGGATGCGTAGGGCATGTTGCAATTGTCGTGAAGGCCCGGGCTCAGTAACATGAATGGTTTTCCAATCAAATTTTGATTTTTCCCCGCAAACGTGAAATCGTGGCTAGCTCGGCCAGTCATCCGGTTAATTGGAGTTTCTCGGTAAGATGTGATCCCAGCAGAATCTTACCAGCCACAGCTGTGCATGTGTAGAGCTGTGCACTGCCAGACGTGTACGCGGCTTCCCAGAGGGAATATGCACTGAGAAATATCCCTCCGGGCCAGTCAAACTCTTCGGGGTTTCTTCTTTTTTTCCCAAACACATACTCAGAATGAAACCTCACTGACTGTTTCACATTCTCCCTGAAGGGGAATTCCAATGCAAGGGGAAAGGATTGTTTCTGAGTTGATATTTGTCTCTTTTTTGGGCGGCAAAACTTGAGAAGACGTTGCTGGAAGAGGGGAGTACCGGTACGCACTGTTGGTGTCTTGCGTAAAAGGCAACTTAAAGGAGCCAAAGCAGGAGATAGGAAGAAAGAAAAGAAAACTCAATTGTCTTGGGGATGAGGCCAGATGCCCCAGTTTTCCCGGTCCCAACACTGCTGTCTGTGGCATTCTTCTGTTGCTCAGTTATCTATCAACACCATGTACCTGTTCAGTAACTCTAACCCCCCCAGAGTAAATAACACAATAACACAGTATCTGGTTTTTGAGGGGTGTTGGGCGTCAATTCTGCACTGCAGTAGTCTTTTGTCTTCAAGGACGAGCCTCCAGCACGCATCATACATGTAGCTGCTCTCTTGCAGAGAAAAATACCCTGAAAAATATCCCCCCCAAATCATTTAAACACCGCACACAAACACAAAATTGGCAGAGTGATCAAAACTGCGTAAAAATGATGTGCCTCAATTCCCCACAGCCACACTATGTACATGTAGCAAAGGAGCCTGACCTTGGGGGTCATTTGGCCTAGTTTCTCCAGCAGTCCCCGGGGTGAAGGACTGTGTTGATTGAGCGGGGATGGGGGGGGGGAGGAGAAGAGAATTCACATTCCAGATGGTGATGGCACCAGTATTAGTACCCAGTGAGTGATTGGCTGGTTTCGGGCATGTGCTATGGTATGGTACGTTGGATCCAATTGGTCTTGTTGGGGTTTTGGAGGCCCGTTCCATAAGGTGTTGTGTTTTAGATGACTAATTGGCTTTGCAGGTTTGTTTGAACAAGTTGATAGCGATTTTATTGCTTTGTCACTGGTGCTGTTATTTGTTAACTCCCAGTTAAAGTTCTGTAGATTTTTTACAGGATAATTTGAAAAAAAAAATAACATGGACAGTAATATGTTTCTTGTTAATAGTAAATAAGTGACTTCATATCTCTGCGACTTTTTTTAATTGATTGACTTACTTTATCGCAGCTACATGTAACTTGTGAATCTACACTGGACAGCAAGAGAAACTTGCCACTTCTGTCAAAGGCCACACATAAAAATTCAATCCATAGAAATAAACAATTTCAACACTGGTTGTTTAAAATGTTGTCCATTCATGGGTCATTTTTGCTTGGTGGAGAGTGCTTTTGTGTGTGACTTTCGATTCAGTAACCAAGTTGCTGTGCATGTCAATTTCTTCTTTATTATAAAGATAATCACTTGCTTTTGGGCATGTGATTAGGAAGGGGTATTGCAGCATACCTGTGTACAAAAATTGTTTATTTCTATGGAGTGAATTTTTATGTGTGGCCTTTGACAGAAGTGGCAAGTTACTTTTGCTGTCCAGTGTAGATTTTCCCTGAAGCATTTGATCAGGATTTCTAATTTTTTTTACTGTAGCCACTTTCAAATTGGGGAATTCTTCGTCATGAATTCTTCCATCAACTTGTGTGGGGAGCATTTGGAATGTGGCACAGCGAGCAATTATTTATAAACCTTGCAGCATTTGAAATTTGCCAGCCATGCGAAATTTGTCTGCCCGTTACGAAACCCACGCGGCACAACTTTTCCACACATTGTGACGAGGCAGTCACATGTGTACGTGCGTGTATTTATAAGTACACTGCACACACAGGGGCCCTTGCTTACGTGTTGCATTCTTGGGGCATGAGTCTTGGTCTAAAAGCTGCCGCCAGGACTAGACTGGTGACCGCGGTGACCTTAGAAATATTCCAGTGGCAGTCTTGGCCAACTCAACAAGCCCTGGCGTTGGTATGTGTGAATTGTGTATGTACAAATTTACATAGTTGGACTAGGCTGTGTACCGACCACAGCCAGCAATTTTTCTTTGACCTCAATAAATATGTGACCTGGGGGGTCGCCCGATTAAACACCAATCCTTTGTCATGTGCGGGTAGGCTTTGTTTTATAACTAGTCAGTGAGCTCAGCCATTGTTTAGCCCATGGACTGCCACTGTTTACTGTGTACTGTACGGGCTCCCGCCTGTCATAGTCGGCCATGGCAACGGTGTCATGTTTCAGACGAGCAGACAAGGCGAAGCCAGTTTTGAGAATGGTCCAGTGAGTAGAGGGAGTAGGGTTTCTCTTTTGGGAATTACTTACATGCAAATTGCAGGGAGTCGCAGGTGTTTTTGCCCTCATGGACTGACGATAACAAGCCAGTGATGTTAATGATGTCAGCGGGGCACCCATCATGCTGATTATTATAAGCGAACTTGTGGAGTCAGATATGAGAATACCAGGCATCGGGGAAATATGTACATCACTTAACAGGTGTTGGCCAGGATAACCTGTTTTTTGGCCAACCCCCTAGCCTGCTTGAAATACAGTATATTCAATTTGGAGGGTACAAGAAGTTGGGGTTTTATTTTTATAAGACAATTTGATGTCCAAAGAAACTTCAAGAAATGTATTCCGAAAAATAAAATTTGACACATTTTGCTGCAACACTGGAAGAAATCCAGCTTTTAAAGAAGTACGTCAAAACAAAACAATGCAAAACAAAACTCATAGTTGTCACTTGTGAACATCAGGAATTTCTCCAAGAAATGGATTGTTATTTACATGTATCTTTGTTTGTCTTTGTTTGATATGTAGGATCAGATCCTGGATTCATTATGGAAGCAGTGATTGGACAGTCACAAAGACCGGAGCCCCAAGACCCCAGACCCCAGACATGAGGCTCCCTTGGAACAAAATACCCTACAGGTCTGTGAGTGCAGTCAGTGAGCTCTCTCCAGCTTTGGTCAGATGGCCCTGCTCTGCTGAGACATCACTGTGACATGGAGGGAAGGCCAGTTGTCTCGCTGGGTTCCCCGCCTTAAGCCAGTGTCTCCACAAGGTGGGATGCCACGGTGTGGCACCCGTCTCATGAGGTGAAAGGTTACGCTTTTTATATACGCGTATTTCTGGCAAAACGGTGATAGTGAAGGAAAGTTTTGAGCATACTGCATTATTCACATGTTGAAGCAAGTTCCTTGTCCTGGAATGGAGTAGGTTTAAAAGTGGAAAGGAATGACGCGATAAGATACAAGGGCAGTAAGTTGAATAAAATTTCCACCTGACAAGCTTAGAACTACCGAGAATTGCTAAGCACAAACGGTGGGTATTCCGTTGTTTTGCTCTGCGAACAATTCTCGGTTAAACCCTCCTGATCTCAAGAGTTGCCCCAAAAGACCAAAAAATTCCAAGCATCTCATCACCTAAGGGAAAGTAGAGTGAGGGGGAAGGAACTTGGAATCAAATTTAAATGGGTGCAGCTCAAGGGAAAGGATTGGCAGAATGCATCTCGTCAGGGCATCAGTATTTGGGACGGATACAGGAATGTGGTGCGGGGCATTCCATGCAGTTGGCGAGAGTCGATGCACTGCATGTGATGGATGGAACACATGGGGAGGGGGGGAGTGGTCAGGCTGACTGTTTGGGAGCTAAGGTCATGAATTATGCATCTGGCATTGGTTGGGGTTGTCACTGCTGATTGGCAGTGGGGTGCAGGTAATACAGGCAGGGTTGTGAATTATTCACGAGGGACTGGTGTTACTGGTTGTTGATTGGCTAGATGAAAAGCCTAGTAAGATCTGCTGGATGTGGTTTTTTTTAACCAAAGCGGAAAGTCTTTTTTGAACATATGGTGGAATATAATGGATTAGTTATGATGCAACAAGATTTCAATATTCATTGAATGAAATCTTTCCTTTCAATATCTTACATGGCTGAAACATCTGTGAGTAATTTTTTCCCAGAATGAGGGAGGGCCATGTGGCACTCACCGAGTTGAAGTGTAAATTCTGTTCCAAGGAAAAGAGTCTAGTTTACGCGTTTCAAGAGCATTATTTTTGTAATAAAATTAGGCGAGTTTTGGTTTGACTGTTGACATTTGTCTTCAAATTTTATTTCTCACAGAATTCAAACTATCAACGAAGGAGCATTAAACTTTCTTGGAGTATTAGGTCACGAAGTTCAGGTTTTAATGGGAACTGTGTAACCCAAGTTACACGGTTAAAAGCTGCTGGCAGCAATTAAAAAAAGGGAGTGATTTGAGAACCATTTTCGTATTGAAGAGCGTAGTGAACTGTGTGCATATTGCCTCAAGATGAGGTGCACGTTTCCATGGAGACGTTTTCACATTGGGCAAGACATGTGTGCTAGGAAGCTGTAGTGAATGTCCTTTTACAGGGGCGTCAAACTTCCGCCTTTTTCCAGAATTTTATCGTCGCATTTACACGACGGCTAATTTTGGGGAAAACCGAGTTTTGATATGTTCCGTGTTAGTGTAATAAGGATGTGTTTGTTGGACAGATGGTGTGAGCCTCGCTGGTGGCAGGGTGTGTGTGTTGCGCAAACAGGCCGAGAAAGGAATTGCCGATATGAGAGAATGGATACGGACGATGCATGTACGAGCGGTCTGTAATTATATGCAGAATTATATGCAAATATATTTAACATTACATCGAACGTTTGTTTTGCTGAACTGGTCGTCAGATGTTGGCTGGGCCACACGTTTGTGTGTAGGTTAAACAGTTGGAGGCTGTACATTCTACTTTGAAAAAAAGTTGACCGAGATTTTTTTTTCCATTTTTAAATTTTCTTGCCATAGTAAGGTGTATAATCTGTACATTTCTCCACAAAAAAAAAAAAAAAAAAAAGAAATTCTCATTTGTTTTCCTTTCTGTTTCTGCCGTGCAGGGACATCCGCGTCAAAAACACCGGTTTTGAGAATAATTTTAGGGGCCGAACATGGGTCCAAAAGTTTCTCAGCATGTTCGCTAGGTTTTACAGACGACGCATGCACACGTTGTGGACTACACAAAAGGCTACATTTATTTCCGACACCCTTCCAGCAGTTAGGACATGGAGGATTTTCACAACAAAATAAGTCACGCGCGTGCGTGATCTCACAGTCTAACTTTCGAGTAGTCTGTTCAGGGTGCAAAGGGGGTTTCGGTCAGAAATAATTGACCGTTGACCTCAGTTTTCCAATGGAATTTGACCAGGGTACACGTTGATCTCATGTGTTCCGATGTGGAAGAACATTGTTTGAGGCTGGTGGAAATCTGACACGTGAACAAACCGGTCTTTATCTTGGATTCTTCATTAATATAGACTTATACTCCATGCAAGAGAATATGTACAGAATTGTGTGAGATGTACATTGTAGAGAGGACGATGTTTGGTTAGTCGTATGATCTTGATCAGTCAAGTGTTTGATACTGCTTTTGTCAAAAGCTTTGTACATGATTCTGTAAAAAACAAAAAAGAAAACAAAAAACCATGTACATACATTCTATTGTTAACCCTTGACCTTTATATATTATAATGCACTCTAAAACGTTTTTCCGCAATAAACGAAAGAATTTAACTTTTGAAGAAAAATGGATGTGCTTTTGGACATTGAACTGACTGGAATATTTGTTAAGCTAGCCAATGCTTTTGTGTCCAGTGGTGATGTCTTCAAGGAAATGCAAAGCATTCTGGGTAGCCTACGCACAGACATTTCAAATGCATGATCAAGTGCTTGACAAAACTGCACCTAACTAGGCCGGTGAGCGTCGGGAGACACCAACCTTTTTCGTAATCTCAGCCTTTTCTCTCTCCATAATTAATTGGAAATGTTCCAAAGCTCTGGCTTTGAATAAAACCGGAAGTGCATCAAAAGGTACGTATATACACTCCGAGGAAATCCCCGAGACTGAAGCCTCACGCTGAATTTCAGAGACGAAGCTGCAGGTTGGACGACTTCCCCAACAAAAGTCTGAAGCCTTGCTACAGTCAAATGTCAACTATGGGTGGCTGTCAATACAAAAACAGTACATAGTGTTGAAAAAATCTCATGTAGCATATAAATCAAAAGGGAAATTCTTCTAACAAAAATGTGTGAAAAATATGCATTTTCAGGCAGAAACTGCTGCCAACCATAGCTGGACTTCCTGCAAACTTCAGCAGCCCGTACGAACAGTAGACAGTTCTCGCAAGACGAAAGAAATGTCCGTTTTCCTGCGTTTCCCCACGTACCCAATCCTTTCAGTTGTTCTCGTTGCTGCCCGGCTCGCTCTTCACGTCTGCCTCTGTGCTGAGCGGCGACTGCATGCTGGCGGCGTGCACCAGCGACATCAACTTGGTGGAGTCCGACCCGCCCACCGCCGGCACGGGCGACTCTGCCTCCCCGCTGGGCGCCTCCACTTTGACCTTGACCGGGGGCTGCTGGTGGGCAGACGTCGGGGCGACCACGACAAACTTCTGCGTGGACGTTATCGGCGGGGCTGACCCGTAATTGGAAGTCGCTGGCTTCTGTCCGCCGATCACGCGGACTATTGTCGGTGCGGAGGGGGGCGAGGCGATGGTTGTTGACGCCTGGAGTCAAATTAATGAGAAATGTGGACGTTGACACGCCAACTTGTAACAGTCAAGTACACAGGCAAGAGTTGGGCTTGACATTCAAATTTCCACATTTCCGACATTGTCTTGAGCCAGCTGAACTGCCAGGATCTGATTTGAATTTATGCTCAAATGGGAAAGGGACCGCAGCAGAAGAGAGTAAAAGAGCATTATTATCCAGAAGTCAGTCAACGAAATAAATGCCATGTACAGGCAAAACCTTTATCTTACAAAACAGTGCAAATAAATGACTTTGCATTCCTTCAAGGGAAAAAAAACCTACTTTTTAAAAATGCACCCTTTGTTTACCAGGCATTTGCGCTGAATGTAACAAAAATACTTATGGTAAATATTTCACAACGTTAACCAATTGCTGCCGGGTGCCTTTGGAAATGCAGTGTCTAATGCCAGGTGATTTGTCAATATTGTCGGTTTTCAAAAATATTCAAAAATTCATATCTTTTCCTAAACCCCATCAAGTGACTGTTTTGTGGCTGGTCTAATCTGACAGACAACATCTAGTGACGCCTGAGTATTTCAGCTGGGCCTGCCGCCCTGTAAAAAGAGCTCAGACTGTGCGGTGTTGTGTAATTTTCTTTTGTCCCCAAACCGGCACAGTGTACTACTGGCGTCTTTTCAATCGGGGCTAGATTAGCGTGCAGC